CAGCCAGTAAACAACTCCCAAGTCTCAAGAAGTCCTTGAAACTTACCAGGTTCACAAGGCCTCTTGCCCCTCAAGGCTATCTATATACTGCCCGGGAGGGGGTCGCTGACCTCCTGAGCTGCCTGCTAGTTGTGCAGAGAGCTCCAGGATTCTTGCTTTCATGAGTCTTCACCCATGCTGGGGTGAGCTTTGCTGATGCCGCTGCCTTTGGGTTGTCTGTGCTCTTGTAAGTAACCCCTTCCCATACTCCTCTAAGTGACCCCATAAACTCACTGGTTCACTGTGTGGGATTGTTATTTTGGTCTGTCTGTTGGTTCCCTGTCTGCAATGAGTAGCGGGGATGAGTATCATGTTTCCCCAGGAAAAAAGATTCTCATACAATATTATTTTATTCAGTTGATCCAGAACTATTTATTGAACAGACCATATTGAATCCCTTACTGTTAACCGCCAGACTGTGTATATGTTCATGTATTTCTGGGGCATGCTTGAGAAGCAGTTAATAGTTAGTCTCTGTTGGTGTTTGAATTCTTTTCTCAAGCAACACTTATTATAGTCTCTGTTGTCAAGACGTCATTTCATCTGAATCACTTCATTTTAAACATCGTCAATCCCTGTAATACAGATACTCATATCGTCCCATTGGTAAGGAAATTAAGACTAGAGTGAAATAATTTGCCAGAGCTGTCTAGCTTGTGAGCGGCTGGAACATGCCTCCAGGGGAATTCTAGTTGATTCCGAAGTCAGAGAAGCTTTTGATAGGGAAGACGGTGATGATACTATGTTCACAGGAGAGAGGTGGAGAGGAGAAGGGCTCTACAAAAAGACAGGCTGGAGAGATGGTTCAGTGGCAAAGAGCACGTAGTGTTCCTGGCTTTGGTTCCCAGTACCCACGCGGCGGATTACTACTGTCTGTAGCTCCAGTTCAAGTGTGCTGCCCCCTTCTGGCCTCTCTGAGTACTTTGTGCATGCGATGTACAAGCATACATGGAGGCAAAACAATAATACGCATAAAATAAAAATGAGTTAAAAATCTTTAGAAAAGAATAAAGATACAAAAATGTCTAAACCAAAGTATGAAAATATCAAAGTTTTCCACAGAAGAGGTATTTTAATATTTTTGTGTGCTTTGTTAAACTTTCTAATTCCCCCCAAAGCAAATTTATTATTTTTGATGAGGAAGTATTGTTTTTTCTTATTTTTTTAGTAACTCTCTTGGGTTTCATTAGGATGCTTACAATCCTCCAATTTTTTCAGCTTTAGACACACCTTTTGTTCCTCTATCCTTCATCCTGTGTACACAATTGGTCACAACTTCTACCATAATTCTTTCAATTATTAAATTATTTCTTAGTTTCCAAAACTGCCTTCCATCTGTCCTGATGAACTCCCCACTGACCTTCCTGCTTCCGGCCATTCCTGTCTTTCTGCATTCCATTAAAGAGATGATATGTTATTAAAACACTACACATAATGTCTCCTTTTCAAAACAATGGTGAATACTTGTTAAACCTTACTATGAGCCAGGAATGACACTAAATCCTTTAAATACAACATATAAGCTGATTTTCATATCCCTGCCCAGCCAAAATACCACCCTGTATTTTATAACTCTCCTTTAGCACTAACCAGATGCCAAAGTCTAGCATTCGTGAACATTCTAAATCTGCCCTCAGTGGCCTTTCCTTTACTATTCCTTTTCAAAAATTCTGCATTCATAGTTGGTATTAAAACCTAATTTGATATTTTGCCACCATCGTAATCCATTTTCTCTCGCCATTATCTCGTATCTACCATAGCATTTTGTTGCTTTGGGTTACATGACGTCAATGCACATTTTACATTTTTGCAAACATCTTAAAGTCTGGGACTCATAGGCTTCCATATACCATATGCTTATGGTATATGATAAAATAATTAATTTTATTATTTTATAATCTCTGTCTTTTGGTTTTTGCATATCTGTGTTCCCGATGACTGCTCCATACAGAGCAAGTACTTAATGGGTGTTTATATCTTTTAATAGTGAATCATAATTGCTTACTTGAGATTTTTCCATCAGGTGGGTTTTCTGCCCCGTGTTGTTTCAAATTCAGATTGTGTGTTCTATTTATAGTATATATTTTATATTTACTGTCTCCAGTAGCAACTGACCTCAAAGCAAAAAAAGGGAACCTTTGATTGAATGAAAAATAGAAACACCTGCCAAATCAGAAACTCCTTCCCACAGAATCATGAGCTGAGGGAAAGGAGCTAAACTGTGTAGAAAGGAAAGTACTGCCCCACTTCAAACCCTCATCGATTTGCAGAGTTCGGATCTGTGCTGCTTTCTCTCATGTGTAAAACAAAGCATGTGTTGGAGAGGTGGTGTCTTATACTTCTATTGCTGCAAAGAGACACCATGAGTAAGGCAACTTATAAAAGAAATCATTTAACTGGGGGCTTGCTTAAAGTTTTGGAGGGTAAGTTCATGGCATTCATGTCAGGGAGCTTGGCAGCAGACAAGTAGCTGAGAGAGCTCACATCCGACCTACAAGTTGCAGGCTGCAGGTAGGGGCAGGTAGAGATGATAGATAAATGGATAGATAGATAGACAGACAGACACACAGACAGACACTAGGCCTCTGGGCTTTTGAAACCTCAAAGCTCACCCCAGTGACATACCCCCTTCAAAAATACCACACCCACTCCATCAAGGCCACACCTCTTAATCCTTCCCAAACATTTCAATAAATGAGGACCAAGCATTCAAACATGAGTCTCTGTGGGTCCCATTCTCATTCAAACCCACAACAGTGGCAAAGCTGTTGAAAGCCTTGCTGGTCTTTCATAGGACCAGGGTTTGGTTCCAAGTACCCACAACAGATGGCCCACACCACTCTGTAACCACTATTCCAGCACTTCCTACACAGTGTTCTGTCCTCCACATGTAATATTACACAGAGAAGCGCACACACACACACACACACACACACATTTAAAATTTAAATGCAGGGCTACAACAGCCGCACAGAGTTGTTGGAAAAGCAAAATGAAGTAACAGATAAAATGCTAAAAAAGAAACAAAATGCTAATGTATGTCAAATATTAGTATAAAGGAGTTGGATATAAGATACAGGGTTTCTTTTACTTTATTAGTAATAAATAAAAGAACAAATATTTGGTTTTCAGGTATTTGTCAAAATGGGTCAGGTATTCTGGCACTCGGGAGCCACAAAATACTGAGTGTTACACAGCTCAGGTGGAAAGGTATCCTGGAGCTTGGGAGGCAAGGACCACCACAGGTTGTAGTAAGCTTAGCAGCTTACGGCCTTGCTTCAGGGAAAGGCTTCCCCAGTATATTGGCTATGCTCACGCAGGACAGGGTCTTCCAGCTGGGGATGTTCGCCCAGTGTGGCAGTTTTGCTCTGTAGGAGGTTTCTCGCCACGTCAAGCTCATTGAAGGGGTTTATTAGAAGGAAGCAGCTGGACCAGACAAGCTGAACATACACAGGGTTTATATAGGGATTCTTGGGGGCGGGGAAGTTTTTCCAGGGTAGGGATTGGTCCAGTTTCAGTGCTGAGCAAAGATTGGCTAGAGCTCTGCTCAAGGATTGGTTAGTTTTCTGCACAGGATTAGGGTCAGATTTGGTTCTGGTTTCAGGGCAAAAGTGTGGTTTTTTTCTCTGGTTCTTTTTAGCCTTTTGGCTCCAATCTTAGGGCCAGGGTGCATTTCTTTCACTGACTCAGATCCCAGGGACGAAGTGTGTTCCTTTGGCACTGGTTTCAGGGTCAGGGTACATTTCTTTGGTTCTGGTTGCAGGGCCAAAGTGTGTTTCTTTGGCTCTGCTCAGGGTGTGTTTCTTTGACTGGCCCCTTTTCCCTACAGACAAAATAATTAAATATGTTATAATAGTAAAGTATGAGGCTTCCTGTTATCTTTAGTTTCTTAAGGAAGTATCTTTATTGCAGTATAGTTCGTATGCATCTTGAAATACATGAATTTATAATCATGTAACTAACAGATCACACTTACTGATCTGGGTAAATCAGGATGTATCTATAATTTACTGTCAGGAATTAGAAGAAGTCTTGAACTGATTGACAGGGATATTGTTATCTACTGTTTAGGATAAAAAGATGTAAAAACGAAAGTGTATTACGTGCCAGAGTTTTTCTTTAAATGGACCTGTTATGAAAGCCAGAGGCATGCTGGTCCTATTCAACGAATATTCTAGTAGCTCCTGTGATTTCAAAGACACTGTTGGGTGCGAAGGACGAGATGAATAAACGCTGCTCCTAGAGGGAGATAAGATCTGAACCCAGTGGAAAGGGGAGCGGGACACGACAAGCAAAATGCAGGAAGAACCGATGGGGCTTAAAATAATTTAATTTTGCCTGCCCCTTTTTTCTTTTTAATTCTATTTTGGATGCCCTTTTGCACGTGCCGAGTCGCTTATCGCCCGAGGAATCCGCCACCCAAAGGAATCTTTCCCATTCCTCATTTCTTCCTTTCCTCGCCAATTCGATTTCTTAAGCCTCCAGCACTGCATTTGGAACAGTATCTATTGTGTGGGTGGCGGAACGCGGAGAAGCTATTTTTGTTCTAATTATGAACACTGTTTTCCTGGGGGAAGAGGAGGGTAATAAGGCAGATCTGAGCTGAGCCGCTCGCTGGGCGAGGATGCTCCGTGGAAGCGTTACTAAGGTTACTGGAGAGAAGACCGTAGGCGACAGGCAGGGCTTCTTCTACAGCAAGATATATTTCCCAATGAAGGACGTGGGCTGGGCTGCGGGCAATGCCACATTGTACTACATGTTGGATTCCTTAGAGGGAAAGGGAGGTGGCCCAGGGGGTTAATGAGGAACCAAATCAGGCAGTCTCCTCTTCCTCTTCCGGGCCTCTTTTCCTGCCGTCCTTGTGTTTCCCGAGCCGTTTTGGCTGAAGCACCAGGTCGGCACGCCGGAGAACGGTGCCTTGTAGATGTGACACGCCTCTGAGCCGGCCGGAAGCTGCTCCCAGCCGGTACCCGTAGGGCTTGGCGTGCGGCGTGCGGCGGCGGTGGCGCGGGCGGCGGCGTAGCGCGGCTCCGTAGGACCGGCGCGGACCTGCAGCGGCTCGCTGAGGCCGTGGGTCGTCGTTGCAGCTGCCACGAATCTTGGGACGAACTTGCCAGACAGAGAGGAGCGGAAGGGAAGGGGTGTGTAAGGAGGGCCGTGGGCGTATTGGGTGTTAGAGAGGACTTTGGAACGTGCCCTCAGTATTTGTTGTAATTTTTATTTTGACAGATTCTGGGGGCAGCAGATGCCCTCCATTCTCCAGATTTTCTTAACTCCCGTGGATTGATACTATGATTTGAGTGAGAGCTTTTTGGTGAAGGAGCTCTTGGGATTGGTGAAGCTGCCAGAAGAAAAATTAATGGGGGGTGTGTGTGGCTCGGAGCAGGGAAGTGGTGTCGGGGATGAGGGGTCAAGATGATCCACTAGTTCATATTTTCAGGGTTTACTGTGCCACGTGCCGTTCCCAAACCTTTTAAGCGTGGTGGCTCATTTACCTCCTGTTAATCTTCACATGAGTGGGAAACCGAGGCTCAGACAGATTAAGAAACACTTAAAAAAAAAAAAGATAAATGAAAAGCATATGTGCCAGACCTTGGATTCTGCTAAAGCCCCAGGCTCCACACTTTGGTTTCCCACCATCAAAATATGAAGAAAGTGAAGATGTAGGATTAGAGGGTGGTATAATTTGAACAGCTGTGATAAGATGTTGATGTGATTGTGACGTCTCAGTGGATAAGGCAGCGATAGATGTCAGCCAGGGAAGGTGGGAAACCGTGGCCTGCAAACCTGTGTCTCCAAGCGTGGCTGTGGCCTTTTCTTTAGCAGTTGGTGGGAGAGGAAAGAAAGGTGTATATTCACACACCTATGTTTGAAAATGGAATTACACAGACCCATAGACTTCAACGATTTGACGTAGCCACCTCATTTAACAGATGAATGAAGCCACAAGAGATGGAGTGACATAAGGAAGATAGTCAAGAATGGGGACATTTTCTGTCTTAGCTGTGCTTGCCTACACAAATGCTAAAATTAAAGCTAATGTCACTTTGCTTGGACTGGTTCCCACTGTAGAGATTGTAACCCACCCATACCCATCCTAATGTGTGTCCTAAGTTCTGTACACTGGCTGACACAAATATTAAGGCTAAAAGTAGTGGCACCTGACCTGGACTGGCTCCTTTCAGCTGTAGGAATTGAATATTGGTGGCACACAATTGTGAAATGACCCATCTGTACTCCTGCTTGTGTGTGTGTCCCTGGTTCAGTGTAATGCTGGAATCAGATGCCTTTTCAGATACAATTGAGTGACAGCTGGGGCTTTTGAGCAACTCCAAGAATGTCAATCTAAAAATAAGCGATAAAACCGACTAAGCCAAGTGTTAGGGTAATTTAATTTGAGGAAACTTTTTTTTTTTTTTTTTGGTTTTTCGAGACAGGGTTTCTCTGTGGCTTTGGAGGCTGTCCTGGAACTCACTTGGTAGTCCAGGCTGGCCTCGAACTCACAGAGATCCGCCTGCCTCTGCCTCCCAAGTGCTGGGATTAAAGGCGTGCGCCACCAACGCCCGCCTTGAGGAAACTTCTAACAAGACAAAACTCATGTTTTAAAAATAAGGGGGAAATTTTTTAATCGGTTGATAATGTACTGTTTACAAACACTAAATCTGGTAAATTGTGCCTTATCATGGTCCCAAGAGACAGCTCAAACTGGGGCCTTAAGACTCAAGTAGATCAAGGGCCCAGTGGTGGTGGCACATGCCTTTAGTTCCAGCGTTCAAGAGGCAGAGGCTGGAGGATCTATGTGAGTTTCAGGACAGACTTCAAAGATGCACAGAGAAATCCTGTCTGAAAAAGGGGAAAAACAAAAATAACCAAGCAGATCAGTTTAGCCACTTGCTCTGTAAAATTGTAAGACTGGTTGTGCCCTTGATTCTTCTCATTCCTAAACTTCTTGGTACTTCTTATTAGCTTGAAAAACCATAAGCATTGTTTACAAAGTACTTAGCACAGTGTCTATGACAAAGTGACTATATAGTTCAATTCATTGCTTAATAAGAGCAACACTTCAGAAATACATCTTCTGGCAATGTCTCTGTTGTTCAGCCATCACAGAGTATGTTTACTCAGTGGCACACCATCACATACCTGAAAACTAGTATCTCTCTAGGCTATAAACCTGTGTATCACATTTTTGTAATTACTACTGCAGATAATTGTAATGGTACTTGCACAGTTAGGCATATGTACACATATGAAATGTGTAGTTGAAGTACTGGACACTAGTTTCCTTTATAAAAGTTTCCAGTGGTCTGTCAAAGACTGAAACATCCTTAGGAGGTGCACACTACACAGTAACTACCACGAGTCAAATGAAAGGGATGTACTATTGCCCCTTGCATGCAGTCACATTGCAGCATCCAGGCTTAGGTTTCCCTGGAAAGGACAACGATTAACTTCCTTAACAGCAATTAAAGGAAGAAAACATTTTTGCATTTCTGAGCTGTCAGCCCATTATTTCAAAGGGAGTGAACGTTTTAGATGGCTGTATAGCCCATAGACAGCCATCTGCCTGCCTTGTCTTAAAAAAACTTGCAGCTGTTTGAGATCACTTAATTTTCACGCTTGTGTTTCTTGAATACTGGCAACTCAGGGTCTTCACAACTGACTTGGTACTCCTTTGCAGATGCACGGGCATGGGGGTTACGACTCTGATTTTAGTGATGATGAGCAAGGTGGAGAATCAAGCATAAAGAAGAAGAAGTAAGTCTACTGGTCTGTAGTTCACATCATTCTAGACTGACATGACGTGTAAATAAATAATACTGAAAGGTTTGGGGCCGAGTTTACATATAGAAACAACTGCTGTGGCAAGTGAGGTTTCTATTCATTACACTGTAGTAAATGGATCTACGCTTGGAGGTAGTTGTGGGAAAATGAAGTTTTGTTGTGAAGGGGTTTACTGAAAAGGACGGTGGGAAAAGGAAAGATTTCTCTATTGCATGTGTTTTATTTGGTTTTGTTTTCATTTGTTAAGACTGTGCATGCAAACCCTTAAAGGGAGTTTACTTGCTAGTGCTTGCCTTCCAAGTGAGGTCTGTGTGCTGTGTACTTGAATAAGAAGGTCAGTGGAGGGAACTCATGGGAAGTTTTATTGAATTGGGGGACCAAGATCTTCTAGCACAAAAGCCTGGGTGTCACAAGGAGGACATACTCTTTTGTTGTTGTCATTTTTGTTTTCTGAGATGGTTTCATATGTAGTTGAGGCTGGCCTGGAATTCCCTATATGGCCCAGGCTATCGTAAACTCATAATCTCTTTACCTTAGCTTCCCAAGTGCTATGATTCCAGGTATGAGCTCCCTGTCCAGTTGCTGTGTTTAGGGAGGGGCATTGTTCTTAGCTTTCAGTGCTTAGAAACTTCATATGTATTCACGTTGGAGTGCTTGATTAGTACTAATGGAACTTAGAGAAATTGGTTTATTATTCCACAGTAAGACTAATATGTTTACTTACTAGGACTGACTATTATGAGATCAGTCTTCATGAATAACAAAAAGAATAGTAATAATTATAAGATAATAAAACAATGTATGTTTTCTAGATTTTCATTAAAAACATTACTTCCTGGTCTGAGAATGTAATTACCTTGGTAGAATGCTTGCCTAGGCTACATGAAGTCCCAGATACAGTCCCCAAGAATAGAATTTGAGCAAATTTCCATCAGTACTATGATCTAGGGTTCAGTTTATCTATATCAATAAGGCTAATCATTTGTGGTCAGTGTCTCTTATAGTCAACCTTTTCCATATTGTTTTTTTGTTAAATCTTCATTTTCCTATTTTACAGATAAGTAACCTAATAATAAGATTAGGGTGGTAAATGATTGATACAGTAACCTGCTGGTTAGAACCAGCCATTTTGTTTTTGTCTTTTTCATTTTATAAATATTAAATAGAGTTAAGATTCGGAATGTCTCCTTAAAGATCAGTAAATCGTTTAAAGTTAAGTCTTTAATTCTTTGAACTGAGGTGTTAAGTTACTTGTCTTGTGAACCAGGGGTTACAGTCAGGGAGGAGAAACACCTGGAGTCGAGGGCTTAAAGGGGTACAGTCAAGCATGGGTAACACCTGGAGGCAGGAGCATGCAGTAGCTGGACACGTGTCTTCATTCAGGAAGCCAAGAGCAGCTATGAAGTGAGGCCCAGGTTATAAAATCCCTCTGCAGTGCTGCTCCACTTCCCAGCAGGGTTCCTCCTTCCGGAAACAGCATGCCATCTGGGGCCAAGTGTTCAGGAGTAGTCAAAGGAAACTTTCACCTTCAGACTGCCGCAGCTGAAATGCAGGTCACTGGTAGAGTGCTTGCTAAGCAACCCTGAACATGTGAAAAATTAACTCTTAATATTTTTCCTTTTTAATACACTAGGACAGCTGAAGATGAGTTGCTGCTTACAAAACCATTTCAAAAAGAAAAACATGGAAAGGTGGTCCACAAGCAAGTCGCAGCGGACCTGCTGGACAGGTGTGGTGTTTTGTATTAGGACATTCCTTGGTTTAGGCTGTTTTATAATCTCAGAACAATTGAATTTGATTATGTTAATAAAATATGGATATTTGAATTTACTTAGTCTTTTTTTTTTAAACAGGGAAGAAGCAAGAAATAGAAGGTTTCATCTCATAGCTATGGATGCTGTATCCTTTTTATAGTCTTGTTTTTGTAACTAATAGAATATTTCAAAATCTGCTTGTTAACCATGTTTTCTAATTTAAAAAAAATCAAAATCTTGTGAGTCAGATAGACCAGTTTTATATTTACAGGCTAGCAATTATTGATATGGGTATTTACCATTTATATTTTCAGGTATAATTCTCTACTGCTAATATATAAGAAAAATTTAGAGGTAAAAATAATGAATTTTTTTTTCTATAAATAGACTTAAAAAGTCCATGAACTTGAAGATGTTCCAGCCTGTTCTTGTCAGGCTTTCAAAATTTCCCTTTTCTGCTCCTGTCTTTGTAATATCATTTTAATTTATTCCCTTCACACCTGGTTCTCTGCTATTTTAAATTTTCTGAGTGCTTCTGTTTTAAAATTAAAGCTGCCTGAGTGCCGTCTCCAGGCCTGCTGTCACTCTGTTCCTCAGGTGTGACTGGAGACTGGTCTGTGAGTCAGTCAGACTGGCTCATGGCACTGCTGCACTGAGGTCACACTGCTGTGCAGATATTAGAGAGACGGAGAGGCCAAGCAAGACCTGAGGTGTTTCTGAGTGTCTGCTCCCAAGCCATTGGAAGCTTGGCTTAGCTTCCACATGGGTCTTCTCTCCCATAAGCATTTAAATATATGCTCTCCCTTCTCTGACACCTTCATTGAGGGAGTTAGGAGAACGAAATTATAGGTGCTATTTTTCTGGCATGGATGGCAGAGGGCCCCAGTGTTATTTTCTGGCATGCTTTGCTACAGAGGAGTAATTATGTTAAAAGTTAGTGGTCTTGCTGGGTGTGGTAGCACACACCTTCAATCCCAGCATTCAGGAGGCAGAGGCAGGCAGATCTCTGGATTTGAGGCCAGCCTGGTCTAAATAGCAAGCTCCAAGCAACCAGGGTTACATAGGGGGACCCTGTCTCAAACAAAACAACAACGAAAAAGAACAGTTAATGATCATCCTAGAATGAGTCTTAGCCTTTTAAAGGTGAAGGGGAGCAGGCTGTTGTTAGGCAGGGCATTGTGTTGGTGAGGGAGAGCAGACTGTTGTTAGGGAAAGTTGGCTGTTGGTGAGGGCGAACAGGTTGTTAGGGAGAGCACACTGCTGTTGTAATTATTCCAGTGTGTGCTTATTAGTATTTTCAAGTTGGCAGCCTCACTTCCAAAAAGAAAGCTTGGGGAATGTAGCTCAAGGTAAGAACAGTTCCTGGTGTGTCTTTCAGTCACCACCTTTCGCAAGCTTGTGTTTGTTTTCATATATAAAGCCTAAAGTTGGAGTTGTTAGTATAAGGAATAGGGAGGAGTGTGTCTTTTTCTGTCTCCTGGAAGCCAAGCTCCCACTGACATGTTTTTGCTCTAGGAGAAGTTGTGTTGGCCACAGCCCTGCCTGTTGCTTTTGACTGCTTTATGTTATACTAGCAGAGCTCAGCAGTGGCAGCAGAGACTTGAAACTGAAAAGCCTGCAAAACTTGTCACCTGGATCCTTATGGAAAAATTAGCTGCTCCAGCAGCACGCCCTGCTAGTGGGAGTTGAAGAGTTTGAACCCAGGCCTTGAGGTATTTGGACTCCCCCACCTCTACTTCATGTTCTGATTAAGTGTCTATTAGACCACAGTCTGATCAGTGAAATCACTGAGGCTTAAAGATGTGGTCACAGCAGTTGAGACGGCTCAGACTGCATGTGTTTGAGTGTGGAGAGTGCTGCTAAGGTTTTAAAAACTAAACATTAAATATTCATGTATCTTCTTACAATGCATGGAAAATATACATGGTTTTGTAGACTCTCTGAATATTAAAATTGAAAACTTGCCGTAGTTTGCTTATTTCATTTCTTGTCCTCTCTTTTCAAGGTACTACCTTACTCTGTAGCTCAGGATGACCAAGAACTCCTGGTTTGCTCCTCTTGCCTCCGCTTCCGGAATGCTGGGTTATAGGTGTGAGCCGTCATGCCTGCCCTTCTGATTTCTTGTTTGCTTTTTGAAACCTTCATGTTGGTGGGGCTTCATTTTATAAACATTATATACTATTTTGTATACTTTATCATTAATTATTATATTTTGTAATAATAGATGATAAATTCTAGTTTTTACCTTTAATTTAGAAGCCACAATTTCTTTATTTGTAATATTATTAGACTGGATGAGAGAATGAGGTTGTGTACAATCTGGAAACAGAACAGAAAGCTCCCTTTCCCCCTCATGGCTATACATTTTTTATCACAAGAATAATGTATGCATGAACATTCCAAACATTACAAGCTATACATACTTAAATGTTTTCAGCAGAAAGTGAAAGTCTACTGTACAGCTATCTGTCTTGATATACACATTTAAAAATGCTAAATAGACTCATGTCGCACTTTCTTTTTATTTAGTAATCTATTGCAATGGAAAAACTCTCGAACAGTTATAAACATCCTTAATGTTTTGCATTTTAGTATCAAAGGCACACAAAGTTTGTAAATGACTATATTTTGTACTATGGTGGCAAAAGGGAGGACTTCAAGCGTTTAGGGTAAGTATTGTGAAGCTTACATAGAATGTAGGCTAGATATGGATGGTTTTCTAGGCTCTTTGTTATATCTTCCTTGGCAAGCAGGCCTCTGGTAGCTTCCTCACCTGTTGAGGCAGGTATGGTGTGGGAAATAACAGTGTGTGTGAGAAAGACACTGTGTCTTGTTGACAAGGACCTTTGGAACAATAACCTGTTTAAACTGTAGTGTCCAGGATTGCTTTTGCAAAAGTAAGGCAATGTCCAAGAGACTCTGCAAACACTATAGGCTATTGCTGTTGCTCTTGGTTGAAAATAAATCTCTACTGCTGAAGACACCAGACACTTAAGACACACCATCCAGAAAAGGATCTGAAAGCCTCCTTCCTAAGTCTAGCTTTCATGGTACCAGAGGTGCCGTGCAAGTGTCCAAAGGAGGGAAGCAACCAATAATTATATATATACATTTGTGTGCATGCATGGGTAACAGTTGAAAAAGTGACCATGAATCTGAATGAGAGCAGTCAGGAAAGGGGCTGGAGAGAGGAGAGGGAAGGATAGAATATCTTTTGTTTGTTTTGTTTCTTTGTAACTTTGTCCTAGAACTCACTTTGTAGACCAGACTGGTCTCTAACTCACAGAGATCTGCCTGCCTCTAAAAAGTAATAATATTATTAATTTAAAAAGTAAGACAAACAAGAAACTTCTCTGGAATTTCCCACTCATGAAAGTTCTTCCTGTGTTGAGGCTCTTGGTCTTACATGGATTTCCCTCTGGTTTAATTTCTGAGTAGGTAGGGTCCTAAAGACTTTGGCACACTACCTTAGTTATCCCAATTGTATTTCCCCTATCCCCTGAACCCATACTGCTCAAATGTTTATTCTGCTTCTGTAGCACAAATTCTAATTGGTCTTAATAATAAAGACTCAGAGTCAGCTATCAGGGAGTGAAAGCTGAAGGATCAGAGAAGCAGAGCAGCCAGTCACTAGAGTTCTTACCTCTACCAATGCTCAGACCAAAGGGGCCATCCTGTCCACAGACTGCATTGCAGGCTGACTGCTCCACAGACTGCCTGCCTCAGACTGCCCTGAGCTCCTTTCTCCTTCTGCCTTATATTCTTCTCTCCTCCCAACCATATCCCTTCTTGTCTCCACCTCCCTAGGGCTGGGATTAAAGGCGTGTGATCCCAAGTGCTAGGGTCACCTTTGTGTAAGCTCTGTTTCTCTTTTAGACTGGATCAATTTTGTGTAGCCTACAGTAGCCTTGAACTAACAGAGATCCAGTTGCCTCTGTTTCCTGAGTGCTGGGATTAAAGGTGTGTGTTACCACTGCCTGGCCTCTATGGCTACCTAGTGTGGCTAGCTTAAGTTTTATTTGTTATAGCATAAACAAAATACCACCACATGCTTCCACACTGAGCTTCTATTTCTTCTCTTCCTCCCTTACTTGTCTACCCGGGAAACTACTACAATGATGTAGCATTATATATTATGAAGAGCTAGTTACTTGGACCTATTCTGAAACTTGTTCACATTCTCATTTTCTCACTTAGAGTCTATTCAGCTTTCTCATCCTTGCTTTGGCAACATAGCACCATTTGTATAGTCAGACCAGCTTAGAGATGAGTGAATTTGTTTCTCTACTGAACTTGTGTCTTTCTTGCATTTTTTCCTTAAATAGCTTCTGAAAATACTGAAGTAACTGTTTTTATAAAATCTCCAGCCGGGCATTGGTGGCCCACGCCTTTAATCACAGCACTCGGGAGGGAAAGGCAGGCGGATCTCTGTGAGTTTGAGGCCAGGCTGGTCTACAAGAGCAAGTTCCAGGACAGCCTCCAAAACAATACAGAGAAGCCTTGTCTCGAGGAAAAAAAACAAAAACAAAAACAAACAAAAAAAAAAACTTCAGAGTTCAGAGAACTATATATTTTTATTCAAGTTTTTTCAAAAGTTTTAGCACTATTTAACCTAAATCGGACTAATTTTGTTTTTGTACTAAATTAAAATGAAAATTTTATTTCTAGGGAGAATGATAAGACAGACTTGGATGTTATACGAGAAAACCATAGATTTCTATGGAATGAGGAGGATGAAGCAGATATGACTTGGTAACTTTCTCACATATTTTGTATGTATATGTGGGTGGAGGTCAAAGGGCAACTTGAAAGAGTTGGTTCTCTTTCACTGTGGGTCCCAGTGTTCAGACTCAGGTCAGCAGGACTGGTGGCAGGAGCCTTCACTGCTTCAACTCTCCTGCCAGTCTGATGGCTTGGAAATTTCAGCCACTAGCTTCTAGTAAGCAGATGTTTTAGTCTTGTCTTTCTCACTCTGTTATCTCTTTTATTATTGTTTATTAAAGATGTTATTATTTTTATTTATATGTGTGAATGTGTCTCTGTGTGTGTATACATGCCACATGTGTGTGGGAACCCGTGGAGGCCAGAAGAGGGCGTCAGATTCCCTGGATCTGGAATTACAGGTGGCTGTGAGCCACCCAGCGTGGGTGCTGGGAATTGAACCGAGGTCTCTTGAAGAACAGCGCATGCTCTTAATCACTAAGCCTTTTCTCCAGCACCAGTCTGTGTTGTCTTATCATCATTTATCCAAGGCATTCAGCTCTTTTATAGGCCAGTTTCTGAATCAAAGATAGAAACTTATATTTAGGACTCGACTCTGGTTTGCTTCCTTGGGTAATCTTTGGCAATTTTAATTAACTTCTAATTGCTTGACCTCATCTTCAGAAATAGTTGTTATTGTCTTAAATAAGCTATTGTATGCTACTTATAAAATGTTTTGAATACTTTGGGAAAAAGAAATCATAAAAGTGGTTTTCAAAGTCCAGACATCACAAAGTATAATAAATGAAGAATAATTCTATTTGTCATTTGTCTATGTCCTTTAGTTTGAGAGAGCTGCCATTAATAGCTCATCTCCAGATAGTCAGCACATCTGTCTGTATTAGGCCCCTTTTAGCATTAATATTTATGTCATATGTTACCTATTTGGTATTGCTTAGAAGTAGCAAACTGTGATTGGATTTCTAAATGTATAATACATACGTTTTATGGATTTAGGGAGAAGAGACTTGCAAAGAAATATTATGATAAATTATTCAAGGAATACTGCATAGCTGATCTCAGTAGATACAAAGAAAATAAGGTATGCCCTATGGATATTTATAGCTGGAGTTCTTGTTCAAGTACAGCATTAATGTTTATTAGCCACCATGACCCACAATCTTCTTTAATGGTACTGATAGGAATCTGTTGTCTTGCACTTTGGGATATCATTTTGGCTGCTTAACCTCTGTGGTCATGGGGCTTACAGAGGGTCTATGAAATTTATGAAGGACAAGGTGATTTTGTTTGTGAAATCAGTTGTAGAAAGTCTAAAATTACACACAGTTGGCAATTGGATCCCTTCCGGGCTCTCATCTTGAGCCTCTAGTGACTAAGCACTGTAGAGTGATGTCTCATTTCACAGATCAAGTTTGAAATTAATAGTTTTGATTGATTACCATTTATGGAGTGGCAGATGTACTTTCGTTACATAAATATTTCTATTTTGGTAAAATTAACATTCAATCAGTGCTAATTAGTAGTTGCAAATTCCCATTCCTACTTTAATCTTTAGTTAATATTGAAGCTATTTTTATTCCTAGCTCAACTTCCATAGGAACTAGAAAATGTAATCGAGGAGCAAAAATCTCAGTTGGAAATGTGAAAAGAAGGACTGCGTGTATGGGCAGTGCATATTCTGTTCTATTAAGAAAAAAATCTATTTTAGAAGAGTCTCTAAGGTTTCTTTTTCTCTTAGTTTGATCTCTTTGGTGTTTCTAGTTTGTGAACTGTTTCCTAGATCTGTACAGACAGTAGCAATAATTACTTTGCATAATCCTGTTACAAACCTTGTGGTTGCAATAGCCCAGAGGCTTCTCAGTTTCTTGCATTATTAGTTGTGGATGCTATTGCAGAGCTCTTGTCTGTACCAGCTAATTACCATAACCAATATGGAATCACCACAATTGGAGTTACTTGCAGTTACTACATTACAAATCAAGTCTGAAATACCTTCTTTTGAGGCTATATGATAAAGTAGCTTTTCAGTCACAGGCTTTTTGTGGGTCACTCCAGTATTTATTGAAATTGAATGACACAGTATACAGTGACTGCCCTTCACAAAAAGCTGCAATCTAGTTAGATGTGATGGTCTATGACTGTAATCCCAGCATTCAAGAGACAGTGTCAGGATTGTGAGTTCAAGGTCAGCTTAGTATTGTGAAGCAAGTGTGAGGGGAGATCCTGTCTCAAAATAAAGTTGTGGTCTAGTTGAGGAGAACTGATACACACAAATAAAGGCTAAGTGTTTAAGGTCTCTATTAAGAAACATTAGAATCAGGGAGCCAGAAAGATAGCTCAGTGGTTAAGTGTGCTTATTGAGTAGTCATAAGGAACTGTGGACCAGAGTTTGGATCTTAGTACCCATGTAACAAGCCAGACACACACACACACACACACACACACAGGATCTTACTACCCATGTAACAAGCCAGGCAAACACATGTACACGCACACACACACACACATACACACACACACATACACACATATCTGTAGTTCTGGCCTTGATGTGGTCAGAGATAGGAAGATCTCCGGGGCTTGCTGGCTTCCATCCTTCCCTAAAAAAATAAAAAATTGCAAGCCTGAAGGTCAGAGAGAGACACAGCTTCAAAGAATAGGCAAAGAATGATACAGACACTTAATGTTCTCTTCTGGCCTCTCTGAACCACACCCCCATACACTTAAGGCAAACAATTTTTCTTTAAAAAGAAGGAGGAGGAGTAGGAGGAAGAAGAAGAAGAAAAAGAAGAAGAAGAAGGCGGCGATGACGACTTAAATGAGCCAAAGGCCATTTTTCTTTTACAAAAAAAATCCAGGTGTACAGAGAACTAGTGTTGGGAAAGGGTATAAAGATACAAAAGTTACCTAGTATGACAAGTGTTGTTTCTCATCCCCCATATATTATAACTTTCCTGATGATGGATATTGCTTTGTAAAGATTTATTTATTTTTATCTTATGTATATGAATGTTTTCAAGCACATGCATAATGTGTACTATATGGGTGCATGGTGCCTGTAGACACCAGAAGAGAATGCCAGATCCCCAGGACTACAGGAGCAGACAGTTGTGACCCACCGTATGGATGCTGGCACCCAAACCTGGGTCTTCGGCACAGCGCTACGCACTCTAAACAGCTGAGCCGTTTCTTGAGTCCCCAGCCCCCACCTTTTTTTTTTAAAGACTTAACAGACATTATTTTAATAATTACCTGTTATCCTCATTTAAATGGGTGCTTAGTAAGTGTATTTGTTAAATAAATTAACGAAAGGAAAGGTTTGGGAAACTTGCCAAAAATATACTAGATTTTGTACTTCAATAGGCAGTCCAAGATAATGTTGAACAGTACACAATCTGTGCACACATATATAAGCTTAAGCATAAAATGAAAAGGGTTAGTCTAAAATTTTTACTTTTTTTTCTCTGCAGACTTGGAGGATTTTATTTTCATTTGGGTTTTAACTAGAATGTTTTGACGTTTTTTGAGTCTTTACTTGCATTTAAGATATATATTTGACAAATTAAAAAATCAGTGATTAGACTGGAGAGATGCTCAGTGTTCTTACAGCACTGACTGCTTTTCTAGAGGACCCAGGTTTAATTCCCAGCACCTACATGGCAGCTCACAACTGTCTATAATCCAAGATATGATCCCTTTATGCAAACATACATGTAGGTAAAACACCAATGCATATTAAAAAAGAATAAAAAGAATAATCGATTAAATTTTAAACCCAACGTTAACAAGAAATTGTATCTTATCTGAATTCTTTTTATTTAACTTTTCCTTTTTCCTCTCCCTCCCCCTCCGCTCTCCTCCTCCTCCTCTTTTAAATGTGTATGACTGTTTTGCCTGCAAGATTTCTGTGTACCACTTGTATGCAGTACCTGTGGAGGCCAGAAGATGTCAGGTCCTTTGAGCTGGAGTTGCAAGCAGTTACGAGCTACCGCATGGGTATTGGGAGTTTGAACCTGTTTTCTGTATTAGTAGCCAGTGCTCCTAAGCACTGAGCCATCCCTCGAGCCCCTGGATTCTTTCTTAGAACAATGATCCTACAGGGTTAGCATGTTGAAGTGCTGTCCTTTGCCATAACCACAACCCTTTCTTGTCAGTATTGCATACAGCAGCATATAATATAAATGCAGGTATTTTCCTGCCTTGACACCTGTAACTTTTAGGGTAGTTTAAAAGTCATTTTTAACAGAGGTTGGTAATTGTTCAGAGGTATTTTCAAGTTACTGTAAAAAGATAAAGCCATCACACTGAGAATTAGATTTCTTTTTCAGGTTGAAAATGTCATCATACTTAGCTTTATGTTTGTTTAGATGTGAATATATATGTAATTTATATTTTGTACTTATATTTATTTTCAATACCAGTTTGGATTCAGGTGGCGAATAGAAAAAGAAGTAATTTCAGGAAAAGGTAACTTTTTAAAAAAATTACTTTTTAATAGAACACAGCTTATTTTGTTAATAGAATGAAATCATTGGGTGAGATTTTTCTTGTTATAGATAACAAATTATTTTCTATAAAAATAAAATTACAGAAAATGTATTTCTGATGAATATATTATTAGCAAAGATCAGAATTTAGTGCTTTCATGACTTTTCCTTTAAAATTTGACCTTTAGAATATTTGAGAATATGTAGAAAATGTTATGAGAATAGGATTTAATAGCAGGGAACAAGTGAGTGCTTGATTACCAGTTATTATAATAAAATCTTGGTAGTACTCTATTCCAACAAAAATCAACATTCTGAAAGTAGAAATTAAATATAACACGTGAACCCAATAGAAGTTTTGTACAGACCAATTCTAGGTTCGGCCCAGGTATTTAGTATGATAATGAAAGGTCAAATATTCAGGGCAGTCAAGAGCACTATATCGTTGCAGGGGATCCAAGCCTTCCTCTGACCTCTCCTAGCATCAGGTGTGCCTGGGGTGCACATATATATTAATGGCAGGGATGTTTTCTGTAGAAGAAAAGACAAAACAGTGAATTCAAAACAGCTCAGTGAATGGTCAGTGGGTAAAGACACTTGCCACGCCAGACTAATAATTTCAGTTCAATCCCTGGAACTCAGAGTGGAAGGAGGGAACAGACTCCACATGCATGACACACACTCAGTGCACATGCATACACACACACGCATGCACGCATACTCACACAGATACACAGTACTAAATAAACATTTAAAAATAAGGCAGTGTAAAAGTTTTCTTAAGGTTACATTTTATTTTATACTTTTGCCTAAAATAAGGATAGATCCTGAAACATCTTTTACTAATAAAAATGTCTCTGTTAATTTTGTCAATTAGAATTTTTAGGAGAGTATATAAAACTGCCTTTAAAAAGGTTGGTAGGTGTTTAGTTCATAAGTGAATATAGGACTAGTTGGGACAGAGAGCAAACTGTTGCTGTTAAGATAGAATGTTGTGGTTGCTATTTAACAGTCATTATTAAGTACTAAACATGCTCATGTTTAATTAACTCTTCATTTGGAATGAATTTTAAAGTCATCCTGTACTTCTTTACATATGCCATGGCATGACATGTAGACACACACACACACACACACACACACACACACACACACACACACAATAAATAAATATATAGATAAATGTAAAAAATGTGTTTGAAGTTCATTTTCTGCTACATAGTAAGTTTGAGGTTAGTATGGATTACATGCAATAGATTATGTTTCAAAAGAGTTATAAGTTAGCCTTTTGGATGCTAATGTTATAAATTCATTTTGGTTCTCTTTTACATTTATGAAAAGGATTTTGTGGTTTCTACTTGTTACTTAGTGTAAGTTATTGTGGTGGAAGTTGTTCTTTGTATAAATCATTTTTATTTTTCCTTTTTCTGCTAAAATAGATAATTTTGAGTTGTCCCTTCACCTCCAATCAGCAGTTCTTGTTCTGGTTTAGAAGTTTTTAATATAAGATAGAGCATGAGGTGTTAAAATTTGGAATATCAGGTTTAAGTTTTTAAAATGTTTTTCATGAACATTTTCGCTAGAACTTTAAGTAAATGGTATAATACTTGAAAACATTAATTTTAATATTGCAATTAAAGACTGTAAGGACTCACATCTAAAAATGTGTTTTGGGAAATGATTTCTCCTTTCCCAGTTTTAGTGAGTACACTTCATGTTTTCACTTTCCAAAGTATGAGATTATCTGATAAGGACTAACTAAAACTCTACTTAAATGAACAGTTTATCATCAGGAATTTTGGGACTGTATGTTTTTAGGAGTTTGGCTCTTTATCTGGGTCTGGTGGCACAGTGTGGAGTCCCAGCTATCACTTAGGGACTGAGACAAGATGTCTATAAGTTCAGTTTTGACCTATAGCATAAGTTCTAGGTCAGCCTAGTAATCAAGTAAGAAAAAAAAAAAACTGGGATGTGTCTTACTGGTAAAGCCTATGCTTAGCACACACAGGACCCTGGGTTCAGTTCCCATTGCAAAAGGGAAAAACCAAATTATCTCTTCGATTTCATACTTAGATACATGATGCTATAATTATTATGGTCAGTTATTTTTAATAAGGAGCTTGTGCTACAATTTATTATATATATTTTAAATATTTATTTTACATCCCACTATAGTATTATTTATTTTACAGTTTTTAAAAGAAAGTTTTAGAGATAATAGGTTTATAGTCCAATCATGTCATGTGTCATGACTGATAGTCCTTTCTTTTTGCAGGTCAATTTTTTTGTGGAAATAAACATTGTGATGAAAAAGAAGGCTTAAAAAGCTGGGAAGTTAACTTTGGTTATATTGAGCATGGTGAAAAGAGAAATGCACTTGTTAAATTAAGTAAGTTGAATGATTTCTTCCAAGTTTATCTTTAATTTAGAATTGAAAAATGTATAGACTATTTATAGTTTAATTTTAAGAGATTCAGTGTGTTTTCCTAAAAGTATTCTTTTTCTCTGTAGTTTCTCTAAATCTCAAAGAAATTTTGAGCCTAAAATTTTTAGCATTATGGTAGCACTTTGATAAAACAATTCTAATGTCAGATTTCCAGCTGGTAACTTGTACAGTGAAGATCTCACAAGCTTGAGACTGTCACCAGATAATGTGTCTAAGTGACAATGTCAGAAAAGGTGATGTAAAAACCTCATGGCTGAATGTGTAGCTATAATGTGCTATTTGACAGTGAGAGACAATTTTAGGAAAGAATCCTATTAAAAAGTTTACTTAACGTATATTAATTTTACTTAATAATAGGTCTCACGATGACATTTTCATACCTTATATAATAGCATATTTTGATAGTACTCAAACCATTCACTTTCTATCCCCTCACTCACCTCTTCTTCATTTGTCCTCCTTTTTCCTTTTGTGACCCAATGAGTGTATTAGGGTTACTTACAGTGTCTATACCACTGAAGAAATCTTCAGGAAGGTACAGGGCCTCATGAGTCGTGTCTACCCACACACACACACACACACACAATGATGGAATGTTCATTTATCTAGTCGTGTGCAGGTTTTATTCAAGTAGTCACAGCTGATGAGAGTTCAAGAGTGTAGTAGCCATGCTCAGAGGACAGCATTATACAACAGACCGTGCAACCTCTGGCTCTTCCTTTTTTTCTGTTTACTTGTTGAAGATGTTCCCCGAACCTTGGAGGGGGTGATATAGGTGCCCTCCGTAGACTGGAGCGTTCACAGCCAGTTACTCTCAGCCCTTTGACCAGTTGTGAGTCTCTGCAGTGATTGTCTTCCGCTGTAAAACAGTGGACCACAGCACCGCTCCATCATTATTGTTGTTAATTGCATCTTATTACATCATGTTACTAGGAGATATCTTTGATGTCAGATACTAATTCTGCCTATGAGACACAATGGATGACACTTTTTCTAAAGTCCCTTTCAAACAGTGTTTTCCAGACACAACAGGGCTGATAAACATGTGAACTTGGAGACTATGAGAGCATGCACAAGACCAGCACAGACAGAATCCCAGCAGCAATAAGGGGAAGTGGGTACAAAGCCCTAACCCTAACCAAGAAGCTCTTTGTAGCTGAGAACCGAATCTAGAGAGTGGGGGCAGTTAGGCTGGCACAGGGTCACTCACCTGCTTCTGACTGGTGTGGCCTGTGCCTGAGCAGCGGGAGTCTGCTGGAGTTGGGGGCAGAAGGTGAGGTGGGCACTGTTTGTAATTGGTAGCTGTTGGGAAAGGGAACATCTGCTTTCCTCAATGAGTCATACTTCTTTTCCTAAAGAGAGAGAAAGAATATGAAGTGAGGTGGTAGAGAGGCCTATATTGGAGAAGCAGAGAGAGGAAAGAATATGACCAAAATGGATTATGTGAAAACATTTAAATAGAAAGTATTTTCAGTCCTCAAACAGTTTAATATAATTTTGAGATATAATGTTAAGATTATTTTCTTCATATTACTTCCTATGTATAGGACATGAGAAATTATAATTAAAATAGAGTAACAACATAGTTACACAGATCCGGAAGCTCAGTGATATTTTTTTTTCTCTTAGGATTATGTCAAGAATGTTCCTTTAAGTTAAATTTTCATCACAGGTAATTTTTTTCTTGTAAAATACTATTTTTAATATTTAGCAATTAGACCATACTCATGTTATTGTACTGTCTAAATCTCAATTGGAAAGTGGACTTAATTTACTGTTTAGAAAGTAGAATGCTAAGCTGCACAGTGGTGCTGCACGCCTTTAATCCCAGCACTTGGGAGGCAGAGGCAGGCGGATCTCTGTGAGTTCAAGGCCAGCCTGGTCTACAAAGCTACACAGAGAAACCCTGTCTTGAAACAACCCCCCAAAAATTGTTTTTATTTAATGTATGCAGTGTTGAATGAGTTAGGAGTATCACTCGCCTGTACCATGAAGTACGTATGAGATCTTCGGTTTTGGTTTTATTGGTTTAATAGTGTCGTTATTTCTTTGTTGTTTTAGTTTTGTTTTTTTGAGACAGGCTAGCTTTCAATTCATAGTGTATGTGAAGCTAGCCTCAAATTTGTGATTCTCCTGTCTCAGACTTTTGTGGGCTGGGGTTATAGGTATATGTCATCACACCTGGCTTAAAATCAGCTATATTATAAGCATATTTATGTATCGTTTTAGCTGCTACAGGTAAGTAATAAATTCTTAAAATCAGCAGGATTTTTTTGTTACTTAAATAGCCAGCCCCAACCTTAATTTCCTCTTTCTGTCAGTGATGCTGAGAGAGACTGATGGTGGTTTGTGAGTTTTCCCTTTTTAAGTTTCATTTCAAATTTGAAATGACTTTGATAAAGAGCAAATATTATTAACTGCTATGGCAGCATGATAGCATCAGCATAGATGTCTTAATCAGAAGTCTTTGAGCAAATACTTAAGAGCTGTTTTCTCATGTTTCTTTTCTTAAGCAATTAAAATTAATTGCTTTTTACCTATTGTACTGGCCAAATTATAAACCTGGCCTTGAAGAGGTAAAGCCAGAGCAATAAGAAGGTAAATTATAAGTGTCTAATGTTGAGATGTGAGTTAAAAACAAGCCCTTCTTTCTCCATCCCAAAATGCTTTTCCTGTAGTCTTTGTTCGGAGAGGAGAGTGTCCTCTCACTGGCCCTGAACCGTCAGAGCACCTGCTGCTGGCTCCTGCTTTCCCAGGGCCCTGGGGACACGGGTTATGTGCTGGCAGAGGGCCGAGAGAACTTACAAAAATAGTTCTTTGTCTCTGTTTAGGCTTTATTATTTTACAGAATTATCTTTATTTGTGTATTGAGCTAAAATACTTATGTACTCATTCAAGGTTCTTTATTATATAAGTGATATGTACTTTAACTTTTTTAATTCATTGGATTTTACTTTTTATAAAATCAGTTGAAAAAATTAACTTCAATATTATGTTGTTTAACATAAAGGAGAAAAGAAATCAAGTCCAAAAAAAGAAAGGCTAAAACCAAGACTGAGTGTGACGATTCACCACATAAGAAATCCAAATCTTCTTCAGAGGTCTCCAAGGGGAAAGATGAAGGTAAGGGGTCTAAGAGCTCCTCATTCCCAGTATGCAGTGCAGTCTGCCACAGTGCAAATCAGAGTCTTGCTGGTGAGTGCAGTCAGAACTTTGTTTTATAGCAAGTAGAAGGAAAGTGGTTGAGAATTCAGGTCCATTTATAGTCACTTACGGGAGTTGTAAGAACAGAGTTGGTTTTGATTCCTTTTGGGCAGGTACTATAAATATCGTGGAATACTGCGGTGTCAATTCCCATTGTATGCAAGCCTTGTTACATGGGCGAGACACTGACTCTCAAGCTTACTTTAACGCCCACCTCCATATTTGTCAAACTTGGGAAGAGTCAAATGAGAATGTGAAGGCACTCAGATCTGTAAAGCAGTGTGACAGTCTGTCGTTCAATCTAAAATCATGATTGTATTACCTGTCTACAGGATTATGAGAGAGATTGAGATAATTTATTAAGCAATTTGACCAATGCTTGCCGTGTAATTAGCTATTTTGAAGGTTACTTCTAGTTGCTTTTTTCAGCACCAATAGTTAATTGGCTATAGCTTCTACTAAACCAAATTTAAAACTAGGTGGGCAATGTAAGCAAGATTCAACTGAATTTAAGCTAGTGTTAATATAAGATTTGGACAGGAGAGGGCTCCCTTGCTCTGGACAGGAAGACAGTTGGGGTACTCTTAAGTGCATTCTTGCAAATTGCTGAGTTGCAGTGGATGGTTAGTAGAACTGCTTTCCTATTGTTTATTGGCAGTTGGCACTTGAAACAGAAAGTGTTTTCATATCTATCTTAATTATTTCCAAACTCCAAAGTAAATCTCAATTAATGAATGTGAAAATCTCATTTGAGTTTAAATTTTTTAAATTTATTCTAATATAGTAATATACCATTTGAAAATTTGGTTATATTCATTATTGGGTTAATAATATTGTTACCCACCTAGTGTAATCATATCATGTAATCATGGCTTATTCTAAATTAGGAAGAACTCATCTCTAAACATCACAGTTGCATATGGAACTTTGGCATTCCTGGCCTTATCCACACCTAGACATCCTTTCCCCGCCTATGTGAGACTGTTTACTTTGTAGCTTCATGTTACCATCATAGAGAGTGTTAAGTATGTGAATGCCTTGGTGGACAACTGAATGTCACATGGCAGAATGAATGTGTAAAGAGGAAAGTATGACAATAGCTTGTGTGTGAAGAGCATTTGCCTTGGCAGATAAGGAAGAACAAAACCCTTAGATGTAGATTCAGTCTCTTGGCCAGATTCAATATCATCTCTCCCTGTTTCCCTTTCTCTCAGCTACCTCACCCTTCACGTTTCAGTTTGGCTCGATTGGAAAGGCCCTTAATACTGTCTGTTTCACTTCTCCAGACTAGAGTGGGTCCCTGTTATACAATCTGAAAGCACCCTGTGCTTGGTTAGAAATGGTCAGGACCCATAACTCATTTTCTGTGAGAGAGGGGGATTGTGTGATTATTTAACTCATCTCCACTTTCTAACACCATAGGCATTTAGTAGGTGGATCAGTGAATTCACAGATGAAGAAGCTCCAAAAGTCAGTTCCAGACTCAGAATCAAAATGATGTTCTGGAGTTTTAGCTTTTACACTACAGTGCTCTGACCAGCAATGTTGTAATCAGTTGGTCTGAAGTCACTGAGACCTCTGTGACAAGTGTGCAAGAAGCTCCACCCTGTGGCCTGCGGTTGTTCTGACTTAGCTTCAGTGTCTTGGGGAAGAGGAATGCACTTCCACCTACAGTAGCCCTTCACATTACAAATGGTTGTGTTAGCTAGCAGCTGCTCCTTGGTGTGTGGCCTAACCTACACTTCCCAGTTTGGTTCTGCTTATGTCAGTAGGCCCAAAGTGTAAGCCTGACCTTTCCACCTACCCTTTTTTGTTTTTATTAAACCCATTGAATACATTTCCATGTCTTTACCCTGAACTTCTTATACCCCTTTAGCCTCTGAAAGACTAACACTTAAGCTTCTTAGCCCTCTCCAGTTTTGTTAGGGTGTCATTCTGTCACCTATGCTTTTATTGCCCTCCAGAAATGTCTCCCCGAGGTCTCTGTAGAGTGGTAATTTAAAATATATATAGCTGGCAGTAGGGGTGCACACCTTTAATCCAACAGTTGGGAAGCAGACGCAGGTGGAGCTCTGTGAGTTCAAGGTCAGCCTGGTCTACAGAGTGAATTCTAGGACAGCCAAGGCTACACAGAGAAACTCTGTCTCAAAAGACCAAAAAATAATTACACACACACAAATACACAATAGATGTTGTGTACTTTTGCTTCTTGCCCCCCCCCCCCAATAACTGCTGCTGAAAAGTTATATTTTAATAGCCACATATGACTGGACAGGCTTGGCTGGGGCGTGGCTCAGTGGTGGAGCACCTGCTCAGCGTGCCGTACAGAAGGGAGAGGCTGCAGCCCCTCGCCACCTCCCCTTTCAGCCGTGGAAAGAATCCTGTGGAAATAAGTATTTGTACACTGTTCAGTGGCAGGGCTGAACATCTCCACAAAGAAAAAGAAATTGTTATTATTACTTTACTATTATTATCACTTTGTAACCTGTGAAGTGTTTTTAAGCTATATTGGACTTTTTCTAGACTCTTAGTTTTTATGTTAGATATCCCAGGCTCTATGAACACATAAGATGATCTCTATCTAAAAGAACCTAACATTTTAATTGAGTTGATAAGACTAAGGGACCTAAAAGATTAGAAAGTAGTAGAGAGCTTTTTGGGGGGAGAATTTGTGGTTTTAGCTACAGCAGTTAATACCACCTACAGATGATGCTTGGTAAAATGGTGGCGTTTTCCTTTCAGGACATACATCCTTAAAAAGGTCGGAAGATTCTAGAAACAGTAAGTATCAAGCATTTCTTTTTCAAATAGATATATGTAGATGCAAAGCATTTGTAATTTGAATTTTTTATTTATTTGTGTCCTGCTCTGATGTGACTTATATTTTTACAACATGAGAAGAATCACAAAGGACAAAAGGTGACTATTTATTCTTCAGTTAAAATAATTACAAGTTTCTTATTTTAATCATAGAAAGCATCAGAATTTTTTCAGTAAATACCATGCATAAACATTCAATTTCACACTGTACAGTGTGCAGGGAGAGAAATAGGGATAAGGTTGGAATGGGAAAGGAAAGGCAGTTAAGACTTTAGGAAAATTGCTCATTTTATGTGAGTCTGAATGACCCTAGGGTGGTGTGGATTTGGAGAAGTTGGTGTTGTGAATGGTACATTAGTGTTGTTTCCATTGCTTATATTAAAGCAGTGATTTAATGAATGATTGCTACAGAGTTCCCAGAGTGTTCACAATGACTTACAAAAAGTCTGTAAGGTTGTTTTAAAATTAGAGGTGTAGGAATAATGGGAAGCAAGGTAGAATAGCAACATGAAGATAGAGGCAAAATTGTATACTTCTACCAAAGCATGTCACGTGACTGCAAAGGCAGACCACAGCTTTGTCACTGTTCTCCCCATAACTAAAGCAGTAAGGAAACCACCAGCAGAGTGACAATGCCCTTGTGAAGTAATAAGGAGACCTCAGTGCTTATTTAGCTTTTTTTTTTCTGACAGCTTTGAGAAAAGAATCTCCTGTAGGATATAAAAGGGAACATTTGTAGTTTTTTTATCCTGTCTGATAAATATTTTTTAAATGGTGAAGGTTTATTTTTATTATGTTTAAACTATGTATGTGAGTATATCCACCTGAGGAGAGGGGCCATTGACGTGCACAAGATGGCGTTGCCCCTTGGCGCTCGTTACAGATGTCTGAGCATGGGTGCTGGGAGCGACACTTAGCTCCCCTGAAAGAACCGTATTCACTTTACACTGAGCCATCTCATCTCTCCAGCATTGCCCCTTCCCCTCCATTTTAAAATATTGTTTTTATTGCTTAAAAATTTGTACATATTTGAGACAAGGTTTAGCTCTTCTTGAGTTCATGATCCTTCTGTCTCAGTCTCCCAAATTTCTAGAATTACAGGCATATGGCACTGTACCCAGTTAGAGGACATCCATTTGTGGTGAGTTAAGCTCTAGGCTATTCATTAGATCCCCTGAGAACCAGAAAACTCAAGCAAATTATCCAAGGCTAAGCAGTTAATGTCTAAGATAAGGTTAGATTAAAGTTTATAATTCCCAACACAGTACCTTTTTGTTATTTACTATCGATAACTGTTCATTATTGGTGAGTCAAATGTAGGCCTATTGTTTACATTGTAATTTTGACAGAATAGACAAAGAGATAGATCCTTCTTAAATGATTGATCTGTCCATGTCTTACTTTTGTAGAATGGTTGTGTAAACAGGCCAGCTTCATTGAATTATTGTCAAAAGAGAAGACACCCACACAAGGCCTGTGCGTACACAAAGGAAGTCCTTGATAACCTGTAGTTCTGTTGCAATGCCAGCAAAAAGAAAAATGCCAGACATTAAACAGAGTCTGTATTTGCTCTCTAGAATTGATCAACTCAAAAGTTAGCGCCTGTCTGGTTCTTATAGTTATTACAGACATTCACCATTTCATCAGTGGAGTAAGTTTTTAGTTATAGTATCCACAAAATGCAAGCATTCAGGAAAACCCAAAGCATTTAAGTGCCATACCAAGGATGTCATCAAAAGCTAAGGTAGAACAGACACAAAGCAGCCAATGTGTTAGGAGAACTGAAATTGTGCTGTGGGGAGAATGTTGGTGAAACTATAGATGTTTAGTTTAGAGAAAATTGAAGGAGTGAGGCCAGAGGGAGGAGGAGGATGTGGAAATTGGAGGTGTTTGGAGGCTGTTACTATGTGGGAGATTTATTTTTGGTGATTGGTTTACAGAACTAGATTCTATAGATAAAAATGGCCTGAAAACATATTTTTGTGTCGGTTTAAGGAAGACTGTTGCTTGGAGCTGTCTGATAAAAGGAACAGAGGAAGTGAGCTATCTCAGGAGACAGACTACACACTACTTGTTATGGGAAGTGTTACAGTGAATGGATTTATTTTCGTAGGTAGTGCTGATGAAAAGATCCACAGAGACCAATAGAGCAGCACATCATGGCTCAACAAATAAAGGCTGTTGCTGCCAAGCCTGATGACCTGGGTTCAATCCTTGGAACTCACATGTCCTCTGACCTGCACACGTGCACTGTGGCATTTTCACACCACATTTCACACACACACACACAAAATGTGAAGAAAAAAGGAACTATAGGTTCTTACTAATAATTACTGCAGAGACTTGACAGTGATACTGTAAGGATGTCATTGTGTATTAGCCATTCTATTTATCATTCCTTAGCAGTGCTCTTTGTCACCCCTGGTGTTGGTTAGTTATAGCAGTGTTTGTAGTGACTGTCACCCTCAGGTAATGAGGAAATTTTAGGTTCACAGGGTGGAAGGAACTTCACAGATCACTTACTATAATCCTGTGCATTGGATTCTCTGAGGCAACTTGGGCACTTTTTCAGTGAATACTCTCTCAGTGGGATTTATTTGAAGGTGATTCAACTTTTCAAAAGTAGAGTTGTATTATCTGGTTTCAGAAATGTACAGGGCTGGGTCAGTGGTCCATTTGGTACAGTGCTTCCATGAAACAAGAGAAACTAAATTCCATCCTCAGAACCCACTTTAAAACCTGGGCTAAGGTCAGCTCAGTCGGTAAAGGTGCTTGCCACCAACCTGACAGGTTTGATCCCTGCAGCCCCCATGGCAGTGGGAGAGAACTGGCTTCCACAGCTTGTTGTCTGATCTCCATACTGTGTCCTGCATGTGCACACCTCATGCACACACAGCCAAGTGTAAAGACAAATGGTCCAGGTATGGTACCACACACTTTCAATCCTAGTGCTTAGGAGGTGAAGACAGGCAGATCTCTGGGTACTTGTCAGCCAGCCTTGCCTATTTAGTGAATTCAAGGCCAGTGAAAGACCCTTTCTCAAAAAAAAAAAAAAAAAGTGGACAATACCCAAGGAACAGTCCTGGAAGATGACCTCTGGTCTCCATACATGCACACACTCATAGACCTATAGATACCACACACACAGACAAACATTCATACAAAGGAAATTAGTGTGGAAAAGCCTCCATGCATGCACACATACATGTAAACCTATATACACCACACATGTAAGCAAATCACTCATACAAAGGAAATTGGTGTGGGAAAGCTGACTGGTGGAACGTATTCTTGGAAGGGAACAAGAGTGAACAGTAGCGGTTTATAGTATAAAACTTTTTAAAATCAGCTGCTGGATTTTAAAGGTCGTGTAGGTTCTGTTCTCTGACATCTTAACAGTAATACCAGAGTGATGAATTTATTAGGCATTCTTATCTCAGTGAGTTGAAGATTATATATTCTCTTCCTGTGTTATCAGTTCAAGACACTGGGAACTGTAGTGATGGCTGTCACAGAACAAGAATCTTCCTCCAAGACTTTATAGTTTCACCACCGTTTGTACATACATAGCTCCCTTCCCCTGCTATTTGTTAAAATCGGTGCCACAACATATTGAGTTAGGATCAAAGTTCAGGCGTACACATTGATTCCAGGATCAGAGTCCAGCAGGTAAAAGGCTAGCACCACCGTGACAAATCAATGTTGCTTTATTTTTGTGCCGCGCTGAACTTAGGGACATTCTGTACTGACAAGCTAAATCTGAGTTAAGTCGGAACTCCAGTGTTAACTCCTACAAGGGGATTATCTCTTGTAATGTCATTCTTGACTGTTAATCATCGAGGTCGTGTAAGTTAAGGTTTGTAAAGAGCATAGTGTGTTAGGTTGAGCACAAGTAACTAAGCCTCTGAGACTGCAGTTACCTTACGAAAATACATTTGTCAGACATCTTGTAAAAAGGATGTTTATTACTTTAATTATAACAGCCTGTCCTGAGAGGAAAGAGGCTTTTTCAGACGTTGTTCAGGAGAATGGAGACTCAGTAACCTTTCTTCTGCAGTAAAACTGGCCCTATGACTGCTTTAGAGCATAGGTCTGGTGGCCAGTGATGCTGCTTTTGGAATTTGAAATTTTATTTGGAATAGATGAGCACCTCAGATAAATGCGGACAGAAATGTACATCATGCAACAAGAGGAACAATTCGGCTGGGCTGTGGTCCCACTGTGGAGCCTACAGTAGCATTTAAGACCCTGGGTTTAATTACTAGCATTGCCCCCTCGATAAAAATAGAAAAGGAGAGCATCCTAAATCCCCACCAATCAGGAATTGAGGATTGGTTAATCCAATTCTGTATAGCTGTTTCTATTTTGTTTTGTTTTGTTGTTTACTTATTTGTTTAAAGCTTTCGTGGGGCTGTTGGCTCTATAGTTAAAGCATACATTGGTCTTACAGAGGACTCAAGTTCAGTTGCCAGGACCTTCTTTGGGAGTTCTGACACCTCAGGCTTCTGCAGACACCTGTACACACATGTGCATCGTTAAAAATAAAAATCTTAATTATAAAAACTGAGACACACACACATATACATATATCTATCTATAGATATAGATATATAGTCAAGGAAAACTATCTCAAATCTTTTATAGTTACACAAAACATGTACAGTACTCCAAATTATTTTAAAAGGTGCAATATATATAAAATGTAAACTTAGGCAGCATAAGTTTGTATGGGCCAACCAGACTTAAATGATGATAGTATGATAGTATTACCGGTAAGCTCGGGATAACTTTTCCTTTGTTCTTTAAACATTTTCAAATCACTTTTATTTTAGACAGTGAGCACATATTACCTCTAAAATCAGTAAAAATAATATATTCATATTTTAAAATATTAAAAATTAGACCTCAAATGAATCACCAATATTTAACTAAAATTTACTCAACACTAGATAATATATTATCAGCAGACAAACTATCCCATCATCACATCAGTGACCTCTTTTCAATGACAACCATTAGTCTAAAGGAGCTGTTCTTGAGTGTTGGTCCTAATACAGATAAGTTCTCTATGTAAATCTTCATTTCATTTCTGTTGTATGATCAAGGAAATAAGCAAATCAGCTTTTCCTTTTGTTCAGTGTAACATTAGTTCCATTCCCTTTTTGCTGAGACTCTGATATTTCTCATATTGTTTAATTTTTAAATTTTATCATATCTGGAGGGATAACTTAAATTTCCAAGGAATTTAGCTGTTACTGTTAAATTCATAGTTAAGCTAATTGCACTGGTAAATGATTCAAGATGTGCTATGTTAAAAGCCTGTTCTTGTAAATGAGCAGGAAACACGGATGAGGAAGACAGTGCTTCAGAATCTGAGCTGTGGAAGGGCCCTCTGCCAGAGACAGATGAAAAGTCACAGTAAGTCTGAGATTCATAGATGCTCCCTTCTGTCGTCAGCCGAGGAGGCTGTGGATACAGCTGTTCTTGGTATCACTTAATGAAAATATTTAATGCTATGAGTGTTTATTCAGTGCCAAAGACTCCCTGCCCTGGTAAGGTGGAAGTTTATTACCAGCCATTATTCTTGGCTCTAAAGAGCCAGTGGGCCCAACATCCGTTCACTTTAACAGACAACCCTCTGTTCTTGCTTGGATTCCTTCTGAGGGCGCTGTTCCCTGGCATCTAAGACAGCCTGTCTCTTGATGTTATGATTCTCCTGACCCATGCTGGGGAGCCCCTTGAAGGTTTACACAGGAGTAGGAGAATCCTTGCCAACACGCCTCCCAGCCTCCCAACAGCAGATAACACTTGCTGTGTGCAGCGGCTGATGCAAAGCCTGCAATACTTGGCTGCAAACACTACGTTGTTTATTGCTTGATGCTTCTCACTGTACTTGACAGGTTATACTGAAAGTAATGTCCCCTCAAAGTTCTGTTCTTGTGTTTAGACATAAACTTTTCTAACACAAATACGTATTTACTATTCCCAGGCTAATAAAGACTGTGGCCTGAGCAAATGTTCTCACATTCCTGGGAGTAAGACTTGTATTTTTTTTTAACATAGTTAGTTTCTGTTTCATGCATTTCTTAAGCAGGTTATAATTTGAAATAGTGAACAGAGAAGATATAAGGTCAACCAAAAGAGCAAAGAGAAGCAATAGTGTTTTACACAGTATTTCAAAGAAAACTGAGGGCCTTTGAGAGAGGTACCAGCATGTGAGATATTCCAATTTTAACAGTTTTGAGAATAGATGTTTGTCTAGAAACTCCAAATTATTTGAATTATGAAAACATATTGGTATGTAGAATGACCAGCTAGTATACTGAAAATATTTTGTTTTTATTAATCTCATAATGTACCTAATTTTTTACTCTATTGATTTTTTTAATTTAATTTTTATTATTTTGAGTACTCTTGATTATAATCAATGTTTGTACTTTTTTAATAGGGAAGAAGAATTTGATGATTATTTTCAGGACTTGTTTCTATGAGCAGAGAGAGAGGCTCATTCCTTGGTGAGGAAGCGTACTATGAAACTCCATGAACATGCCCATTGCCGTTGAGTCTGGACAGCCACGGACAGATGTTTCGGAGGCTCAGGGACTGTTTCAGACACTTCCTCCTTTGTTTATGTAGCATCTTGGTTGCTTATGTACAAATCTGTTTTGGCCATAGCTCTCCAGTATATGATGCACTGTTTTAAGTGGCATTTGAACATGGAGTAATTGGCATTAAACTGTAAATAAATTATTTAGTGTCTGGTTTTAAAATGGTTGATGTCAGAGTCTTTTCTTTTATCAGACAGTTGTTCATTTACTCTATAGCTGCTGACCAGGCTTCTGTTAGGCATGAGGCGCTGTGCTGAGCTATTACAGTCCTTTCTGAACCAGCAGAAAATGGTAAATTAGTGTCGGCTGTACTGGTGTTAAGTATTGTGTAAAAGTTCCTCATTTCTTGAAGATGTTCTTCAGCTTATTGCTTACACTGAATAAAAAGGAATTTTATTTGTAAGGGAAATTATCTGAAATGTCCAACATCAAAGTTGGTATTAGTACTGGAATTCCTATTCTTACAATAAAAGAATATTCATCGTCCAATGATCATCAGAAAATAGAGTTGTGCGAAATTAAATGGTAACTGGGAAGACTACACATCATTTTACAATAGAACAATATATTTTGGAATGAAAACATAGTTTTGATATTAAGTTCACGTGTGAATTCCGATCATTAGGTAAAAATCACAGCGATCTTCTTGTGTATCAGGTGTGGGTTCACACGGGTCCCTGAAAAGAACACACAGAGGCACTCTTTGGATGATGAAGACACAGAGGCACTCTTTGGATGATGAAGACACAGAGGATGAAGAAGACACAGAGGCACTCTTTGGATGATGAAGACACAGAGGATGATGAAGACACAGAGGCACTCTTTGGATGATGAAGACACAGAGGATGAAGAACACACAGAGGCACTCTTTGGATGATGAAGACACAGAGGATGAAGAAGACACAGAGGCACTCTTTGGATGATGAAGACACAGAGGATGAAGAACACACAGAGGCACTCTTTGGATGATGGCTAGCCTTTCTAGCTACAGGGGGCCAGCCTCTGCAGACTGACTCCATTGCTTAGCAAATGGCTTTTTTTTTTTTTTTTTTTTTGGTTTTACGAGACAGGGTTTCTCTGTATTGTTTTGGAGGCTATCGGTCCAGCCTGGCCTGGAACTCACAGAGATCCGCCTGCCTCTGCCTCCAGAGTGCTGGAATTATAGGCGTGCGCCACCACCACCCAGCACAAATGGCTTTTTTAAATTATTTAAATTAAAAATAATCTTATTTTCATATTAATCCCAGTTCCCTCTCCCTCCCGTCCTCCCATTCTCCCCATCCACTTCCCAGGGAGGATGAGGCCTTCCATGAGGGATCATCAAAGTCTGTCACATCATTTGGAGCAGGACTGAGGCCCTGAGAGGCAGAGCAAATAGGCAGAGAGAGTTTCCCTCCATAGGGATTGGGCTCCCAAAGCCCATTCATGCACTAGGAATAAATACTGGTTCCACTGCCAGAGGCCCCATAGACTGACACCCACGTTCAGGGGACCTGGTTCAGTCCTATGCTGTCAGACTGGGGTCCATGAGCTCCCACTTGCTCAGGTCAGTTGTTTCTGTGGGTTTTCCCAGCATGGTCTTGACAGTTAATGGGAGTCATGTTTGAAGGAGTCTGTGATGTTTGACATCCACTGTGCAGCTGCTTCATGATTTGGCTCATTACATAGTAAGCTATTTCATACTTGGGGCTCAGGCTGGAGATGGCGCAGGAGTTACTACCACTTGCTGTTCTCCCAGAGGACCCCTCTTGGGATCCCAGAACCCATGTCAGGTGACTCATAACTGCCTGTAACTCAAGTTTGTGGGCATCTGAAGCCTTCTTCTGGCCTTCACCAGCAGAGGCACACACATCACATAGACTCACATAGACACATACATATAAATAAATCTTAATATATCTTGTGACTCATTTCAAGATTGAAATTTTTAATTTAACACAAACTGGCAGAAAATTCATTGTTTTTGTTCTTTAAACTTTATTTACCTCACAGAGTTTCTAGGTCAGCAGTAGATATTCTGTGGATAGTCACATGGCAGTGTCTCTGGGGATGTTTCTGTTTTGTTACTTCAGGGTGACTGGACAGAATTCAGCAAGGTTCGTTTGAATGCTTTTTTTCTTGGAAACTAAGATGATGCTTGAAATATAAACCAGTTGGGTTGTATTACAACATTAAGCACGTTTTAGACTTTCTGTCATTGGTGCCACCTCCTAAATCTGTGGCAGCTAGTGAAAAACCAGAAAAAAACTTTATTAGGAGTCAGTATGATATAATGCTTTTATCTGTGCCAGGTCTATAATTAATACTAGCTTATAAAAACCCCAATGGTTTGACTGTTTAAAACCGTTTTTTATTCACATGGCTCACTTAAAAATGAAAGTCAAGGAGCTAGAGATGGCTCAGCAGTTTAGAGCCCTTGTTGCTATTGCAGAAGTCCCAGGTTTGATTCTCAGTACACACATGGTGGCTCTCCACCATCTGTAACCCCATTCCAAGGGATCTGAACCCTCTCCTGCTCTCTGTACGCACCAGGCACGTGGTGCACATACACATGCAGGCAAAACACTCATACATGAATTGGGGAAAACGTAGTAAAATGTAAGAGCCAGGTGTGGTGGCGCACGCCTTTAATCCCAGCACTTGGGAGGCAGAGGTAGGCGGATGGATCTCAGTGAGTTTGAAGCCACTGTGAATTCTAGGACAGTCAAGGCTACATGGTGAGGCTTTGTATAAAAAAAACGTTTTTGATACAGAGATAGCCAAGTGCCAGATGTGGTAGTACACACCTGTAATCCTAGCATTCAGAAGGCAGAGACAGGCAGGTCTTTGTGAGTTCCAGACAGTCTAGGCTACATTGTGAGACTCTCAAAAAGCAAAGTAAAATAAAACTTGATAAGCGGTCACTCAGTTACCATGTCAGTGTTTCAGTGAAATTAAACAAGCTGGAATCTGAGCCAGAGGTACAAAACCTGAAGCCCAGGAACACAATGGCCTTAATTCTCAAAGAATTCAAGTAAGAGACAGAAAATAAAAATAAATGTATGCAAATAATGTATAGAAGACCTGTGTCCACTCTGGGAGGAATTAGGGGATGGACTGCAGTCAAAACAATCCAAATACATTGTATACATACATGAAATTATCAAAGAATTAATAAAAATGTTGTATTAAAGAATGAAGACTAAATAAATATAGGAGCCGCTTGGAAAAGGTGGCAGTATCTTTATCATCAAACTTTTAGTCCTAAGGAATTTCTCCTCATGGACTCATATTCTAACAGGGGAGACAAAGTAACTTCAGAAGTTTAACAAATTAGTCAAAATCTCCTGTCTTCCTGAAGAGCAGGGCAGACCTCCCTGTGCTAACCCCTCCTGACTGTAAAGCAGCTGGCTGCAGGCTGTTCCCTGTCCATCCACATCAGCCACTGCTGACACTACCAGCTCCATTGGTACCTGGTACTTAACTTTCCATCCCCTCTTCACTACACACGAATGTGTTTTTAAATGATTCTGCCACACCAAGCTTATTCCCACTTCAGTAGTAATTTTGCAGATCTTATTTTTTTTCTTCTCCACTCACCTCTGCTCCTTTGTACGAGTTGGGACTTACGTTGTGGGACCTCAGCACAGACACCCCTTTTCAGGGACACCTTCCTGTGCTTTCACCACGGCTCACTGTCAGACTTCAAATTGGTTGCTTAATGCCCAGCTCTCTCCCTTTAGAAGCAAGAGCTTGGAGAGAAGGTCTCTGTCGTTCCCCAAGACCTATCTAACACAGCTTTGTGAGAACACATACCCTGTGACTATTTTGATGAGTGGGCATGAAGGCATCAGAAACTCTCACTGTTGAGGGACACCTGTAACTTTGATAAGGCAAATATTCCCACTCTAAATGAACTGCTTAAAATCTGGCCAAATGGTGCAGTTGTGTAGAAGCATGTTCTTGTAGGGCCTTCCACCCAGAGGTTTCTTCTATGCCAATAGGACAGTTTACAAAATTGTTACAGTGCTAACCTTTGGAGATGGACAATAACATGGCAGCCTGAGGAAATATCTCAGTAGGAAAAGGGTTTGCTGCCTCAAACACAAGGACCTGAGTTTGATTCCCAATACCCGTGTGAGAAAGCTGGTCACGGTGGTACATACATCTCAGCCGGGGAGGTAGGAACAGACGATACATCAGTCTTGCACTGTGTTCTCTCATCTATTCCTGACCTTCTGAGCCATGTTTTCTAGAGATGCCCTAGAGCCACCTTCTAGAGGGTGCTAATGCCCTCTAGAAGCACCTGGACCAGTCTGGGCCTGTCAACTCCTGGAGTTGTATAAGATCTTGTCTGGGGGCAAACCAACCCTGAAAACTGCAGACTTCTTAAACTCCCCTGCCTGCATCAGCAAAGCAGTCTTCCTGTTAGCACTTCCATTCCGTACTTTTGTCCTGTGACACCTACACCCCCGCCCCCTCAACCCCCCACCCCCGCTTCTGGCTGCTGGGTTCCAACTAACCTTTTCCACGCACGGCTCCTCCTTCCTGCTTTGCTACCTCCTCCTCGGTCACCCTCGCCTTCGCCTCATACTCCTCCTTCGCCTCATACTCCTCCGCTAGTGACTTCCATTCCACTCTGTTCTTCTGAAGGCCGGTCAGCATGGGGGTGATTTCCTTGTGAAACCGTGAGAACTCCTGCAGAGGATTTGAGGCGGGGAAACTAGTTAAGCATCTCGTTGACTTTGGTGTAGAAGAGCAGCGGTGAGGTGGGTGGGGTCTGGAGGTGCGGGGTGAGCCTGGGTGCTTCCCTGGCTTGGGAAAGGCAGGTGCTGTCTGTCAAGTAGGTATGTGCGTGGTTAACATTTGAGTTCTCCCACATTTTATTCCACTCTGAACAAACCAAAGTCAATGGAGGAAATGACCTAGTGGTTTTCTTCACTGGTAACTTTTTTTTTTTTTACTTCAATTAGCTTTTTGTTTTTTAGGCAAGGTCTTGCTGTATAGCCCAGGCTGGCCTAAAACTTGTAGTCCAAGGTGACTTTGAACTCTTGATCCCCCTGCCTCCTGAGGGCTGAGATTACAGGTGTGCACCACCACACCTGACTCACTCTAGTTATGCTTTGAAAGGAAAATTCTCATTTAAATGATTATCCAGTTAATTCAAATAATTTGTTTACGTACCTTATACACAAATGTACAAACAAAATCAATAAATCCCACTTGAAGTTTGGGGAGCTCATCTTTTTTGTTTCTGTCCATCATAGGCTAGAAAGAGAAGTAAATCCTTTTAAGATGTTTTCCTGAGATTTAGGGAGAGTTTTTAATAAGTGACACTGCTATGACAAGGTCTTTACAATTGGTTGCTGCTGCAGCACTGTCCTTTCCAAATCACCTTGTTCCCAAAATTCGTTTGCAACGAGAAGTGCTACCTGCAAAAGACAGAGGCATGGTTTGTGATACCCATTGTTAGCAGAGAGCTTTTGCCATGTTAGCATGATTGACATCTAAGGCTAAGATTGTCCTGTCAATGCTTTCGGTATCATCAAGCCAGCTTCTCTGAAGCTGTAAAAAAGATGCTACTTACAGGTTATACTGAAATGGGGAGGGGTTTTCTTCCCATTCGAGGGTTCTGGACTCTAAGAGTATATCTTCTATTTGTATTGCTATCACTTCTCAATTAAGAGGGGTGATAGGAGTTTCTCAAACCAAGATGCCTCGAGCCCTCACATTTTCCAATCCTCTTAGCGGCTGTGGTCATCTAGCATAGGTTTGCATATGATGAACACACACACACACACACACACACACACAGAGAGAGAGAGAGAGAGAGAGAGAGAGAGAGAGAGAGAGATTGGTGCACATGTATCTTGACAGCATGTGAGGATAATCAAGTGTTAATTCATGTAAAAAATGAATATAGCTTGATTGACAGGCATTTGTTAACTACCTGACATTGGTGGAAGCCAGGCTTGCCATGAAGGAAGAGATGGAACCTTGTCTTTCAGATGCTTACAGTATAGTGAGAACAGTTTGTCCTCAGTGTGGTACCTTCTACAACCCTAACAGGCTTACTGCTGTGGAGAAGGAAAGAGGCACATCAGGCCAGAGGGAGGCGGCATTTCTGTTGTACCATGAGAGTGAGCAGTAGATCTCTAGGCAAAAAGGAGGAGAAGGCTGTACACAGGGAGATACAGACTGCCTGGGTCTTATCCCAGAGCTTGGAGTGTGTCATGACAGCATGGGGTGATGGGTAATGACCCCAGGAGGGTGAGAGAGGGACAGATAATGACAGACAGGCCTGTGCACTCTGTCGGGGAAGATGAACTTATGTCTCCAGGCCAAAGTTCCCATCTGTATCTCGTGCTTGTTTCTGTTTTTTTTTTGTTTTTCGTTTTGAGACAGTGTCTTGTTACACTACCCGGGGTAGCCTTGAACTGACAGTCATCCTGTCTCATTGTCTCAGGTGCTGGCATTACAGGTATGTATCGTCACAACCAGCTCAAAAAAAAAAAAGTACTTCTTAAAAACAAATAAGTGAGTTTAGCTCACACAGCAAGTTCCGGGTTCCGTAAAGAGACCTTATCTCAAAAATTAAGGTGGAGAGTGTTTGAGAAAGACATCCCAGCTTTGGTCTCTGGCTTCCACTCCTGCTCTTCCAGAGGACCTGAGTTTTGTTCCCATCACCCACATGGGCTCACAGCTTCCTGTAACCCCAGCTCTAGGAGATCCTATGATGCTTTCTCCTGCAGCACCACATGGGTAAACTCTCTCCCTCTCTCCCACTCCCTACCTCCCACTCCCTCTCTCTCCCCCCCACACAAACACACACAGGCACACACAATTTAAAGGTTATTCAAAAATATATGAGGATGATTTCCTTCTTTGTTTGCTTATGAAGACTCCCGTGTCCTGTATGTAAAGCTTACATAAATGTATATACTTTTCTCTTTGCAGGCCTTCTTTTACATAGCTACTTTTACTTTTACTGCAACCACAAACCAAGGATGGCTGGGGAAAAAAGTATTTGTCCTCCCCCACAATGGGTTCCAAATGACTTTTTCTTTCTAACATAACAATCAGGATGGGTCACTGAACCAAGGTAACTCTGGCTCCTCTGCAGATGGTTTCACCTAGGTGTCATTGAAAAAGGCAGCTTCTTCCAACCAATTAATGAGAAAGCAAGTAGCTAAGCCTCACCTTCACCCTTGGCCTCACCCCAAGTAGATAAAGAACAGACCTGAATGTGGATGCTCAGTCAGCACCTTCCAGAAGAGCCCAGGGAGCAATGCCAGCTAAGTAGAGTGAACAATCCCTTCCACCAGGGCCTGTTCTGACTTACCTGCCTACTGAAGAGCTCACACGTTGAGGTCATTTAATAGGCCTTATTATGTAGCCCAGGCTATCACTGAATCCTGTATCCTCCTACATAAATATTTTATAGCTTGTTCAATAATAAGGAATTCTGTACCCCACTTTCACCACCCCTCCATTTTCTTTGCAAAGCCTTCTGTATTTCCCTTGTTCTGAGACATACTCCTATGACCCACTGACCTGTTACTGTTTGTAAAGACCAGAAGAGGACTCTGGGTTTGCCAAAGAATACCCTGTGGCCCTTCATGGGATTTAGGCAAAACCTGAGGTGTGTGACAAGAAAAGAAATGCCTCAGGGTTTGCCTGACTCTGCACTTCCCAGGGCTTGATGATGGCAGACTGGTGTGTGATAGGTCACAGATGTGTGATGGGTCACAGGTATGTGACAGGACAGGCCATGCTGCTGCACTTACCTGACTGTACCACCTAAGTGTCTGGTTATAGGTATGTGATGATGGGTCTCAGGTGTGTGATGATGGTCACAGGTGTGTGATGATGGGTCACATGTGTGTGATGATGGGTCACATGTGTGTGATGATGGGTATCATAGGTGTGATGATGGGTCACAGGTGTGTGTGATGATGGGTCACAGGTGTGTGATGATGGGTATCATGGGTGTGTGATGATGGGTCACAGGTGTGTGTGATGATGGGTCACAGGTGTGTGATGAATGGGTCACATGTGTGTGATGATGGGTCACAGGTGTGTGTGATGATGGGTCTCAGGTGTGTGATGATGGTCACAGGTGTGTGATGAATGGGTCACAGGTGTGTGATGATGGGTCACAGGTGTGTGATGATGGGTCACATGTGTGTGATGATGGGTCACAGGTGTGTGATGATGGGTCACAGGTGTGTGATGATGGGTATCATGGGTGTGTGATGATGGGTCACAGGTGTGTGATGATGGGTCACAGGTGTGTGTGATGATGGGTCACATGTGTGTGATGATGGGTCTCAGGTGTGTGATGATGGGTCACAGGTGTGTGATGATGGGTCACAGGTGTGTGATGATGGGTCACAGGTGTGTGATGATGGGTCACAGGTGTGTGATGATGGGTCACAGGTGTGTGATGATGGGTCACAGGTGTGTGATGATGGGTATCATGGGTGTGTGATGATGGGTATCATGGGTGTGTGATGATGGGTCACAGGTGTGTGATGATGGGTCACAGGTGTGTGATGATGGGTCACAGGTGTGTGATGATGGGTCACAGGTGTGTGATGATGGGTCACAGGTGTGTGATGATGGGTATCATGGGTGTGTGATGATGGGTATCATGGGTGTGTGATGATGGGTCACAGGTGTGTGTGATGATGGGTCACAGGTGTGTGATGATGGGTCACAGGTGTGTGTGATGATGGGTCACAGGTGTGTGATGATGGTCATAGGTGTGTGATGATGGGTCACAGGTGTGTGATGATGGGTCACAGGTGTGTGATGATGGGTCACAGGTGTGTGATGATGGGTATCATGGGTGTGTGATGATGGGTCACAGGTGTGTGATGATGGGTCTCAGGTGTGTGATGATGGGTCACAGGTGTGTGTGATGATGGGTCTCAGGTGTGTGATGATGGGTCTCAGGTGTGTGATGATGGGACACAGGTATATGACAAGTCACAGGTGTGTGACAGGACAGGAAATGCTGTGGGACTTGCCTGACTCTGCACCTCCCAGGGTTTAGTGATGGCAGACAGGTCACAGGCAGTCATCATCATGGCCCTTATGAAGGAAAGAAAAAACATTAAACTAGAAAAATTACAAAACCTGCTGTTTTGCTAAAATGGAATTAATATTCTGACTGCTCACATAATGACCTCCTTTTTGGTTGGGTCAGCAGTTATGTATTTGATGGTTTCTTCATGTGGCATTTGTTCACAGGCATCAACAATCTTTTGAAACATGGTTCTCTTCCTGGAAAAGATACAGCTGTGCATCAATTTTTCCAAAGAAAATGATCCTAAGTTTGTGCTTTTGTATTATGTGTTCCCTTCTGCCTTGGGCTGTCTGCCTAGCAGGGGCCAAGAGCCAGGGTTGAGAGCAGGCAATTCTGACTATCTCTGGCATAGAGAGGGTTGGAGGCAGAAAAAGTACAAATCACAGAGTGGAGAGAACCCATGAAAGTTTGGATCCAATAAAACCAAAAGTTCAAATAAGAAAACAGCAAAACAGAGACACAAAAGCTAGGAGCTGTACCATCATAGCACACACTCCCAACAAAAGCACAGAAGCCAAAATACTGGTCTCGTTGGCAATTGGGAAACATAGACCTAAACAGTGGAGTATCGACTCATACTCAATAGGTTAGCAAACTAAAATCTAATGTGTCCAGATCAAGAGTACTTCAGATATGGGACCAGAGGCCTCAACATGCTGCTGGTATGATGTAAACGGTGCAGCCCAATACTGCAAGGCGGCATACACAACATACATGTACATCTTCCCACACCCCCACCTCTACGTATAGAAACTTGAATATATGCACAATGATCTGCAATGTGGCATTGTGGGCAATAATGGAGATAAGACACAATCTGAATTTACTTGTGTGGAGGAGTATAAGGTAATTATTGTCTATCCAACAGTTGAACACTGTCTAATTGAAGCAAATGAACTGGCTGTCTGTGTATTACCAAGTAAACCTTCCTTCCTTACTCTCTTTCTTTCTTCCTTCCTTCCTCTCTTTCTTCCTTCCTTTCTTTCTTTCTCTCTTTCTTTCTTTCTTTCTTCCTTCCTTCCTTTCTCCCTTTCTTTTCCTTCCTTCCTTCTTTCTGTCTGTCTATCTATCTATTGTCCATCTATCATATATCTATATCTGTATGTGTGCATGTTTGTGTGTAAGGGGTGAGTAGGGATGACAGGATGGGTGCACATTGATGTGTAAAGGCCAGAGGTAGACATCAGGCGTCTCTCCTTGAGGGGTCCTTTCCAACTGTCCTCACTAACATTCTCTCCTTATGCTGGGGATACGGTTGCTTCATGTCACCCTCAGCTTTTTGTATGGGTGTCGAGGAATCCAAACTCTGATCTTCATACCTATATGGCATTTGCTTTACCTACTGAGCCCTCTGGCGTTCCCTTTCATCCATTTTTAATTGTATGTTTGTTTGGTTTCCTCAGGGTCTTGTCTTGAATCTAACATGCCAGAGAATGCCTTGTAGTGCTTCAACATGAATATTTTTAATCAGTCTACAAGTGTCATGTCACCAAAAGGCAAATCTTTAAAAAACAATGCTGTGTGGGAAGAGCAAGTTACAGAAATATATTTGCAAACAGTATGGTGCCAGTGCCACGTAGGGACATGAGGGTAAAGCATGGAGCATACCAGTTCCAGATGGCTTTCTTTGGAAGGTAAGAGGACTTTGGGATGAATTGGGGATGGAGTGCCCCAACTATATCACTGCTTCTCTTTCTGTCCTTAAAAACTCAATTCTGAGCCAGGTGGTGGCACACACCTTTAATCCCAGCATTTGGGAGTCAGAGGCAGGTGGATGCTGAGTTTGAGACCAGCCTGGCCTCCAGGTGAGTTCCAGGATAACCAGGGTCATACAGAGAAACCTTGCCTCGAGAAAAACCAAAGACCCATGGATTCTGAAGCACATGTAACATGATGGGTCACCACTGGTGGGTTGTGAGCCCTGGGTGTCTGTCTGGGTACCATTATGTTGTCCTAAGCATTTGCAGTCATAGCTGGACTGTTTAATGGTTAGATTTTTAAGGACGATTAGCAAGGCAAAATTTGACAGTGCCAAAATCACCAAATATTTGGATCCTATAAATAGCCTACCTCTTTCTAGTCAGTGTTCACCATGAAAATTATATTTCACTTAGAAGAAAATGTGTAGATGCTTGGCATATCCGGTCTCCTTGTGTAAAAACTCAAGTTTTGTGAGTTTAGTTTGTGTGTTAGAATCATCAAGATTGTTCAATCCAGAACTCTCGCAAGATCAAATTTCTGAGTCTGAAATAGCAAATACCAAATTCTGGGCAAACATTCTAGCATTGAACAAATCCAGTTAATACTAAATTCTAGACCATGGTGAGTTACTGGGACATACAGCCATGGTGTGCAGTTTCATGACATTATTCTGTACCCTTCTGTTTGTGCTTCAGATCACAAGCTATTTAACACAGCAGGCCTGTGCTTTCAAAGTATATCTCCAAAACAGAGTAAGTTCACTGTCAGTTGACTATTTTGACGATAACTGCCATTCCAAAAAGAAAACAGATTTGAGAGCCTGATTTTTAAAATGTATGCATTTGTGTGGATGCCTACAGAGGCCAGATGGAACATCACATTCCTGAAGCCAGAGTTAGAGCCCATTGTGAGCCACCCAGTGTGGGTCCTTAGAATCCAACTCCAGTCCTTTGCAAGAATATCAAATGCTCACAGGTCATCTCTCTAACCACATAAACAAGTCCTTAACTTCAGTGCAGCTCGTAGAACCATGCTGGGCTCAGGAGCACTCTGATAGCCATCCTTCTACTTACTTGAAATACAATGCCAGGTCAGTGGCTATTATTGCAACTTCAAACAAATGGATCACTGTTTCAAACTGCCGCTTGCTTAGACTCTGGAAGATGTTTAAACTCTGTAAGATGAACAATTCACAATAAAATACAATCAGCAATTGACCTTTGGTTCAACAAACAAAACAAAACAAAACACACTTAGTGAGTTGATATAGCCTGTCTTTTGATTTTTTTTGGTGTCTTTTTTAATGATTTATTTATTTTTATTTAATTGCATTGGTGTTTTACCTGTGTGTATGTCTGTGTGAGGGTGTCAGATGTCCTGGAGCTGGAGTTACAGACAGTTTGAGCTGCCATGTGGGTGCTGGGAATTGAACCCGGGACCTCTGGAAGAGCAGCCAGTGTTCATAACCACTGAGCCATCTCCCCAGACTCTGATGTCTATTTTTTTAATCTCATGGTTGAAGTACACGTCTCTACTCTACTTTGAGTAGGTAATTTAAACTCTAAAAATAGTTTCAGCTACTCTGTGCTGACATTTTAGAATAAATAATTTGTTCTCTTTCAGTACCATGTGAAAATATAACAATAAATAGTGCCTCAAATTTATTAGTTGAGGCACTGTAAAAAAGGATTTCTGGAATGTCCAATGGCTAGCCATGGGTCACTTTTGACCAGCTAATTCTAGAGTAACCACAAAACCACTGTTTCTCAGAAACAGCTGTCTACACTAATATTCACATATATAGGGAGAAAAAAAAAAACAATGACCCTCCCTGTGTTTTCCTTAAAATGTTTCTTGCAATATTTTACAAAGAATTAGTAGATCTCTTTTTCAGAGTTTCTCATTAATAATCTCTTTATATGAATCATTTTCATTTCTTCATTTTCTAGATTACCAGACTATAAAACTTGGAGTGGTTATTAAAAGTTGTGGTATTCTGGATGGATCATTTTAGTCATGCAGGACAGAGGACAGATGTACAATGGTTTGCCAAATGAAGGTGATAGTGACACTATACAGGACAGTTCCACTGGAGAGAAAGGCAATAGTCTGTAGACCTGTGTGGAGACAGGAGGAATATCATGCAGAAAGAAATATTGAGTATTTCATACCCTACCAGCTTCTAAGTGCTTAATGAATGCTTCTATGACAAGCCATAAAGCAGAGAGGTTAAGCAACTTGCTTTGGGTTCCACAGCCAGAACAGGGCAGTGTAGCCTGTCCACACCATGGGTGCTCTCAGTTTTTGCCCCCCATGCTGCCTTTCAGCAAGAAGCCTGGGGCCAGGTCTCAGCTTTACCATTGATACCTGCATAAGCTGGACACAGCTCTAACATCTGCCTTTGTTTTCTCAATTGGGATAAACTTGTCCTTTCAATTGTTTAACACATAGTCTGTGCTCAATAAAGACCTACGCAAGGTCAACTCCAGTGAAGAAAACATGGGCAATCAGTCAGAAATTAAAATTGCTACAAGTTAACTCAACTGTTGTATCTTTATTATGATATTATTTATTATATGGGATTTTGAGCTCCAGGTTAAAATAAAATTAAATCTTCAACACAAAACCAAATCTGGCTATCAATCATTCCAGAAGACTTTTGAGTTTTTGCCCAAGAACTCAAGTTCTAGACATGACAAGTTTTCACAGAGGCCATCTTTTTACATCATCTGGAACAAGAACTGGCGTTTCTCAAGGCATATGTAGCTGGTAGACAGGAATCTATCATTCTTTTTTGTTAAAATGCTGAGTTCATTGTAACTATAGTCAGTATTTATAGATGAGCAGAGTCAAGCAATCGCCAGCAAACTCCCACATTACAGGGAAAAGAAAATTGTCTGGATTAAAATCATATTCCTATTTGGGACTTTTCCCAGTGACTCCACTAGGCATCTCAGTCCATACCCAATGTGGGTTTCCTCTGTGTAGTCTCATCTAGCCTAGGCTATGGAGCCAAGAATAGCCTTGGTTGGATTCCTTATCCTTCTGCCTTCCCCTTGTAAGTGTGGAGTTACGGGCAGTCCACCACACCACCACGTTACAGCAGCAAAGTTCATCCAGTATGAATAGAATGCCCATGTCTGGGTGGTAGAATTTGAATGCCATCATTTCCATTTATATTTTTCCTCCACACTTCACCTATTACTTGAATTTTTATAGTGGGGCTAGGTGGGGTTATTTTTAATTACTAGCTATTAATTCTTAAAATATACAAGCATGTAATATTTCATCTCCCTATCCCTGCACATTGTTCTGAAAACATTATAAAGAGAGATGCAGGTATGCCAAAACAAGCCAGGAAGCCCAGTTTTAGGCACCCTAGTCCCTAATTGCTTAGCTTGTGTGTGTGTGTGTGTGTGTATGTGTGTGTGTGTGTCTGTCTGCGTGTATCTGTCTGTGTGTGTTTTCTTACAAATTTGACTAACAATATCTCCACCTATTCACTCAGGTCACAAGCTGATTTTTATCTGGTTTGGAATACAGGCAGTCCTATGTGTCAAACTCTATGTAAGATAAGCACATTTCAACTCAATGTATAACAATATGAAAAACAAAATGTCTGCATGATGCCCACAAAAGCCAAGATCGCTGAATAAATTCCAAGGATTTCTCCTGTTAAAAATATGAAAACTTTTTGTGGACTTATTTTCTTTACAGAATAATAAAAAGCTACACTGTTTTCCTAAAATATAAAAGGCATATATTATGAGCTAAAGTGTCAATTTTCTGTGGTCAATTTGACTGCTCATAAATAGGCTGTGTGATTGTGTTGTCTAGCAACCATATTGACAAAGCTTTAAACATCTGCAATTAGAGGTTGAATAGCATTGTAGACAGGTCCTTGAAAAGACAGTATACGATACTGAGAGGCAATATTCCTTTTTAGAAAGAATAATAATCGTTTGCATAGCCATCAAAGCCAGGCTTTCTATTTTGTGTCTCTGATACTATCAAACAACTTAACCAAAAGCAACACGGAGAGGAAGCGGCTTGTTTTAGCTTGCAGATTACAGCCCATCATTAGGGGAAGCCATGGCAGGAACCTGAGGCATGAGCTTGAGGAAGGCTCCGATGGAGGAACACTCCTTACTGGCTTGTTCCTCAGGTTAACACTCAGCAAATGTCTGGTACAATCCAGGACCACCTGGCACTGCCCACAGTGGACTGGACTAGGCTACATCAATTAACAAAGAAGAAAATGCTTGATAAATGGGCCCACAGGCCAAACTGAGGGAGGTAATTCCTCAGCTGAGTCTCTTTCTCCTCAGCAGTCTCCAGTGGACAATTAAGATTAGCCATCACACCAGGTTAGGCTGCAAACCAAAGACCATAAAAAAACATAGAAAAGTTTACCTCTATTATAAACCATCAAAACCCAGAAGGGGAAACATGTAAGCCACTAGGTGTCTTCTCTACATTATGAAGTGGCGAACTCAGCTGAAGTTCTTTAAATGGATTTGCCTGATGAAGCACAGTGGAACTGACAGATTAGAACTGACTTTGCCTCACTGTGGTGTGAAGAGGGACACCAGGAAATACTTCAGGAATACTGCCCCAAAAGACTGTCCCACAGCAAAACAAAGGCTCCTAACAAACGAGGCATTGACAAGAGACTCGCATCTCCCCGAACCCCTTTCATCTGCCCTTCCTTTCATTATTGTAAAACAGGTATCAGCCATGCCCTGAACTGTGTTCTGTCTCTAACTGGAACCCGTGTGTCTCTTCCCTTCCTCTGCCTTTAATTGTACCTTATTACACAGGGTAAGGAAAAGCCCGCCCTCCAGACTGCAGAGCTTTCCTGTGAACATGCAATGCTAAGTCGTCTCTCTGTAAAACACCACTTCCTTCATCCTAAAAACAAGTCCTCTGAGTTGTTCCACATGCCCAGAAACTCCTGAGATAAAGTTACTAAAGACAAGCAGCATACTCCCTATGGAAGGTTAGTGCTCTACCCTGAGTCCCAATCCTGAGACTTCAGGGAGCTGGAAGCTACTTCCTGCCTAAGCCATCATGGCCCTTCTTTTTCTCCCATGAATGGAGCTTGACACAGGGCCTCTATTGAGGAAGCTATTAGATTTTATCTCATATCTTGATCTGAGCCTGTATTACTAAAATGACTTTCTCCAAGGTCCACACCACACTCTGTGGGGTGTACCCCATGAGCAGGAATAGCAGTGGCTGCATACTCCCCCTTTACATTTATAAATAGACGCTTCAGTGTGCACAGAGCCCTTTTGCATTCTTCACCAATGGACCCAGATCCTGTGACTTTTGTCTCTCTTTTCTTCTTGGTCTTAATGACTTAAAGCATGGTATTTCAAAGCCTAGATGCAGTATAGCAGCTTCTGCCTTTGCACTGAGGTAAGAACACGCAAACTACACTTGGATAAGGGGACACATCGCCAGTGTACTGAAGACCATTTTTCCCCCTAGCACTTGGAGTAGGTAGTCTTAGATCCAGAACCTGTAAGCTTCCCTAGAGACAATCTGTCATACCTCATCCTGCAAGAGAGTCTTGCTATATTCCAGGTGATGTCGCTCTAAAATGGAAGTCCCATGAAGCTTTGCAAGTGGCGATGAGGATCTAGGAAGAAAAGGGTACCACATAGCTTTATCAGCTTAGAGATTACATAGAAGAGATCCATCCAATACAGCGTCTTCACTCTTCTAGAATTCTCGTTCATGTCTTGTCTCCTTCCCTACTCAATGTCTACTAAATGGTCAAATGCAAAATATTGGAAAATATTATTTTTAATTTAGAATGTGAGAAAGTGTTTTTTGCCAGGCATGGTGGTGCATATCTTGGGAAGCAGGCAGGTGGCTCTCTGTGAGTTCAAAACTAGTCTGATCTACAACAGCCAAGGTTGTTACACAGAGAAACTTTGTCTCAAAAAAAAAAAAAAAGTAAAAGAAAGAAAACGTGACAAGAGGTTGAAACAAAAATTCTGCAGGTTATGGGGAGATTTTCCATGGAAATAGTAATAAATCTTTTAAAAGAAAATTATCAGAAGCCTAAGTGGCAGCTCTAGAGAATTTTCATTTTGCACAACAAAGAACAGAACTTTTTGGGGAGGAGGCATTGCCAAGTCACTAACAGGTGTCGCATATTATAATTGATCATTTAAAGCAAATACTTCAGTATCTATACAATGTCAGCACTGGAGATTTTTTTTTTAAGTTCAGTTTCAATTAGAAGAGAGTGAAATGTTTAATTCGTTTAGGACATTTCAGAAAACTCAGCACTAAATGGGATACATATTCCACATGACCTCCTCCCAGGGCTCTAGGAATCACTACACAATAGGGAACAAATGTCTAAAAGGGGACAGAAAGAGAACCAGAAGCAGTGGATGACTCCAATGAAATGATGTCTTCTAGACACAGCAGGGCAGCAGCACCTATGAACTCCCACAGTGGTGGTGACATCACGCACAAGACCTGTACAAGGCCAAGCCAGACCAAATCCCAGCATGCAGTAGGAGCTGAGCACAGATTCCCACTCCTAGCCATAGAGCTATTGGCAGTTATTAGCCGCTAGGGAAGAGGAAGGGTCAGTTTTCTCTAAGTGTGAAGCCCCTGCAAAATAGATCTAGCTCTAGTAGAAGACCACACATTGAAGAATATTTGGGCAGCACAAATTGGTTTGTGTGACAAAAAGACACAAAGTTGGGTGGATGAAGAGGGGAAAAGGGTGGGTCTGGGAAGGGTCAGAACAAACCAGGGAACATATGATTAAAACATGTACAAAAACTCAGAGAACTAACAAAAATTATTAAAAATTTAAATTTGACAAATTTGTTATTGGGAAGCTAAATATCTACTCATTCTTGAAGTAAGTGACAGATGACTGTTACAGAGGTGGTGAATGTTCCTCTATACAGAGAGATTACCAAATAAGAGACAGCAGCATGCCCATCTAAACCACAAGGAGTTTAAAATTTCAGATAATGGGACACATTGCTATCATGAGCCTCCTTACACAAATATCCTGAGAGCACAGGGCATGTAGAAAGAACCGCCAAAAATACTTATGATGCATTTAGTGATAAGGAAACACTGAGTATATCCAGATGGAGAGGGATGCCGGAGAACAAGTTGCCTAGAGTCTTCAAAAACACTATCCTGAGACACAACAAGATGAAGAAACTACCTTAAGTGAAAGGAGAATAAAGATAACCAACAATGATATGCAACAAATAATCCTTGATTATATCTCAAATCAATTGGGGGTGCTGTAAAGGACAGTAGTGAGATAACTAGAAAAAATTATTAATTTTATTTTAATTAATTAATAATTAGTTTGCACTGAATAATAGCACAACTGTAAAATTTCCTTGGGGTGGGGGTAGGGCCACTGTGCTGTGTCTCTCTGCCTGTTTGCCTCTTATGCCAGGGGAGCACATGCTGAAATAATTAGGAACAAAATGCCTGGGTGATTACAGATGACTCACAAATCGGTAACAAACAAGAAGGAGAAAATGGTGTGATTTGTGCGTGAGGGAATGGGGAGATTGCTTCCGTAATTGCTGAAACAGATGGTCGATAAATAATCACAGAGAACATCAGAGAAGATTTGGGATGAGAAAAGGATGCCAGGGCCGTGCCGTGTGAGGTGCACTTCTGAGGAAACCCAGTGGCCACGGGGCGGTGACTTCAGCCAGTCGCTGGGGTTGGCACCTCCCTTATGGAAACCCAGTGGCCACGGGGCGGTGACTTCAGCCAGTCGCTGGGGTCGGCACCTCCCCTATGGACTCTTTCAAGATTGTTGGGGTATGGATTGTGTTCACCCAGCCTTCACTCTTATAGCTGGAGTGGGGCTTCATTGACTGTCTCACAGTTGATTTCCTGAAGCATCTTTCCAGTCACGTGCCTGGAGCTCTGCCCTTGGCTCTGTCCTGAAGCACTCAAGTGAATATCAGTGGGAACATGACTACCTGATTCCACACGACAAAAACCTGGGGGAAAATCTTAAACCATGGTCTCACAAAGTGTGACCTAAATGGACATTTATTTATTTATTTCCTTTATTCTTCGCTCATACATTACATCCTGATCTCTCCTTCCCCTCACTCTACAACTCCCAGTTCCTTCCCCCACTTTCCCTCCTCCCCAGATCAATTCCTCCTCTGTTTCCCACCCCAAAAAAGAGCAGGCCTCCCAGATATATCCACCTAGCATGGTCTAACAAGATATAATAAGACTGGGCACAGACTCGCATATCACTGCTGGATATAGCAACCCAGTAAGATCAAAGGGTCCCAAGGGCAGCAAGAGAGTCAGAGACACCCACCTCTCCCTCTCTCCCTCTCTCTCTCTCTCTCTCTCTCTCTCTCTCTCTCTCTCTCTCTCTCTCTCACACACACACACACACACACACACACACACACACACACACCATGCATTTCCATTGTTGGGAGTCCCACAAGAACACCAAACTACAATTAAGAGCAGATTAAGGAATTAAAGGCTAGTAAGATGGATCAGTGGGTAAAGGTACTTGCTGATAGGCCTGAGTCTAATACCCAAAGGATCCACAGGACACAGAGAAAGAACTGGCTCCTAAAAGATGTCTTCTGACCTCCAAATATATACAGTGGTACTCACACAACACACACACACACACACACACAAATAAATAAATATAATTTTAACCTTTTTTGAAGAACTACTTTTAGGGAGATGACATTTCAGTAGGATTGAAGGATTGAATATAGAGTACTTCAAGGCATGTCTGGATTACCATGTCAAAATTTGGAATCCAACGTTTTGAAATAACAGAAAGCCTGGAGTGAGTGTAGAGGATCATGAAAAACCATGTGGTGGGAACTACTGTTAAAAGAGTAGTTCAAGCTGGGTGGGGTGGTACATGCCTATAATCCCAGCATGCAGGAAGCTGAGGCAGGAGGATCCTGAGTTTGAGTCAGCTTACACTATATAGCAAGATCCTGTTTCTCCAAAGCAAATGCCTCAAAGTTTTCAAAACCTTAGTGTGTTCAGCCTGGAAAGAAAATATTTTGGTAAGAAAGATGTTATAATTCTTTTTAACACATAAAGGAGGAACAATGGGTGAGAAACCATATTGTTCCTGCAGATCCAGAGGCCCAAGCTAGGAGAAATAAAAATTATGTATAGAGAGACCAATTTCAGTTCAACATCAAAGAGAGTAGTCCATTGTTAGACCATACCGGAAAAGAGGGAGCCTCTGCCTTGTGATCAGATGGGCCCTCCATTATAGAAAATAATCAAGGGCAGACTACAAAATACAAGAGGATGTATAGGGGAAACTGAAGGGAAGTCTATAATTCTTAATATTTTTCTGCTAGTTGCTGCAGTTGTGCAAGAAGACAGAACTATCAGAACACTAAAATTAAGGGACCAAAGGGATGAGAGGGAAAAGAAACCCACAAACACACACAGGATGAAACAAACCAAGTGGCTGGGAAACAAAACGGGCAAAGAGTCCACAGGAACTTGGAATAATCAAAGTGGGAAACCCGGAGTTTTCCGGTTGTTGTCAGAGGGCATAGTCTGAGTCTGAGAGATAAGGGACCAGACATCCTGGAGGCAAGTGATCAGACCAAAGGCACTGATCAGACCAAAGGCACAGGGTCAAGCCAGGAGTCCCCTGTGTCCCAACAGCTTCTGGTCACTCTGCAGGTGGTCTTCCTGCTACAATCAGAGCAAGAAGAACGATTCCATCTTAGTCAACCTTTACAGTGACTGCATTTGCCAATGGAGCAGTGTCTGTGAAGAATCCTGAGCAATTCTTCCAATGCACAATGCCGTGGGAGTAATGAATGGGCTCATGGCCAACTTTTTGTTTGAAGGGCAGTTTGAGACCATTTGGTTCCAGGAACTTAGTGGAGCTGCCAGGGGGCTCGGCCCATGCTGAGGATGAAGATGGGTTTGACCCTAGTCTGATTTCAAGAAACTCTTCTGTCAGCACACATTCCTCCTGTCCAATTTGCAGAAGATAAGTGGCTGGAAAACACCAACAGAACAGGAAACCAGGCCATTGTGAGGCCTGGGCTGTGGCTCCATCCATCCTGAAAACCTGCAGGCAAGAAGGTGCCTTATCCAGCACTGCTGCTGACTGTAAGCTCTGACAAGTCTGACTCCATCCTTCTGAGCCTGTTTATTCATCCAGGAGAGAGGGGCAGTGGGAGGTGAGGCAGTGGGAGGTGAAACGAGACAAGGCCTACTGTGTGCTCAGATCAGCCTCCAGCACACAGGAGGTGTTCAACACACCAGGCATGGTGGCACATAACTGCCGTCCCGCATGAGGTGGGAAGATTGTAAGGCTGAAGTTAGCCTTACATAGACAGCAACACTATCTTGGAAAAGAAATAAATTAACAAAAGAAAGAAAATTAAGTGAAAAGAGATGCCCAATGAGTCTTAGTTTCTTTGGAGTAGAATGAGGGGACTCCATTGCCCCCTCTCCCTGCCCCAAGACCTTTGCCTCAGTTGAGCACAAAATGGGCAGCATGGGCTGGACCCTCAGGCATGGTGATGTCCTGGGAAAGAGCTTCAGTGGAGATGCTCCTCTCAAGATGGAGGTTGACAGCACAGCTGTTCAAAGTGTGAGGAGACTGCTCAACATGTGCTTTTCATTCACGAGTGCCTTTATCTGAAGTCCCCGGCACATGGGTAACCTCACTTGACTCCCACAGCAGCCTGTGACAGGTCAGTGTCATACCCATTTTCCAGTTAAGAAACCGAGTTTCAGAATAAGCGAGTTGCCTAAGGTTTTTTCCACCAGGAAGTAGTTGGAGCCCACAAGTCCACACGCCAAAGTCTGTCATTCCTGGAACACTTGACTCCCTCCGGAGGATGCTTGGCCATGTGTTAGAGCTGGGGGTGATGCGTGGCTGAGGATTTTTATATGCATGATTCCATCTAATCTTTGCAGCTGTGCATCATTATTGTAATTCCTATTGTCCAGATGAGGAAATCAAGGCTTAGAGAGTAAATGACTTATAAATCCAAATCTGTCTGCACCTGCACCATTACTTCCTTTCTCCAGCCAAGAGAGGGAGACACCATGATGCTACACTAGAAGGGGGGGCGTGGTGGAGCCAAAGGACCAAGAAGCGCAGAATCACAAGCCCCCAAAAGACTCGTTCTAGCCTGAGCAGGGGCACGATCCCTGGACATACACTAGTGTAAGCCTAAGATTAATACACTCGGACATTCGAACCCAATACTCTGATCAAATCTACACAAACAAAGCTGGGGGACCTCAGGAGTGGAAGCAGAAAGGATGAGGCGTAGAGCACCATGGGAAAAGAGCAGATGTTGTCATGAGGCTATAGTTCAGGAGAGACAGAAGAGCCCTGAAACCATAAAGAGGCAGAGGCCGTGACGGGGCTGTGGATCATGGAGGACAGGGGAGGTCTTTCTTCTCTCTCCAGACACCTTCTAGCATCCATCAGCACAGGCCAGCACAATGCATACATTCACTTACTTCATTTGGTACAAATTATTGGTGCCTCTATGGTCGATATCATGGCAGAAGGCAGCAGCGAGCATGGCAAATGCTTCAAGGTCTGTATAGTATTTCTTTAGTCTCCCAGTCTAGAAAGATGTATGAGTACATATTGATAGAGGTCAGCACATCTTACACCAGTGCCACTCAGCCTGACAGCAAGGAAGGCGGGGCTGGGGTGTCACCATGTTGCCACCAAAGACTAGGCTTGTGTTTAGTGAGTCTTGCGTCATCCCAGGCAGTTTCAAAACCTAGGACGTATCTGGATTTTCTTTAAAATGGCAAGCATATGCATTTCTGGTTGGTAATCTAGCCACTTGCCCAGGGAGACCCACACCTCTCAAAGCACTGAAGAAGGGTGAGAGTCTGTGGGATCCTGTCCATGAAGGGCAAATGGTAGATCTGACACAACAGGCCATTCCCATGTCTCGGCATTTCTCAAGTGGGACCTAGTCAGAGTTGCAAACCCTCTCAATGGCTTCCAGCGTCGGTACCTACCATCAGCAAGGTGAACATGGTCTGCCCCACATTGAATCCATGCCGCCAGTTGTGGTAGGTGACAGGGCGGTACCCTTTCCGCACTGTGTACATCCACCTTGTAAGAACCTGTTATCCAAAGGCAACAGCACTGGTCAGACTTTAGAACAGACTTCTAAAGGATAGGAGGCTGGGGGCATGCTTATCTAAAAAGCTATGTTGGTCCTGTTGACAGAGTTTAAGCCGATGCATTCTCAAAGTTAATGATAATTTGAAATCCTAACTTGGGCTAATCTTTGGAACCACAGAAAACACCAGCAAAGCACAGCAACAGAATCAAACCACTTTTCAAGCAAAATGCCATCTGACCTCGACCGGTACTTTGAATTTCTCCACCGCATTGATCTCAAAAAATAGCCGCAACCCGCATTTAACTAACTCGTGCTCTGTAATGGGGAAGTCGCTGAAACAGAACTCATACAGGTCTGTTGCTCGTGGGTCTGGCAAATCTTCCTTCTGTTGAGAGGACAGATCGGTTCAGATTACGTTCAGATGATGGCCCCTTATGACACACACCCAATACCAATGGTAAAGGGTTAATAGGAAGGGCTGGGGAGATGGCTCAGAAGCTCAAGGTATTTGCCCCCAGGCCTCATGACCTGAGTCCTGTCCCCAAACCCACATGGTAAGAAGAGAACTGACTAGGGTTCGTCCTGGGCCTCCACAGGTGCACTGTGGCACATGATCCAACTCCCACCCCACACAGCTAATTCATCAATCAATTAAAACAGATACACGGATAAAAAGTCCCTGAACCACACAGCCAAGTCTGCCTCTTGGAGCTTTCTCTTCCTCCCTCCCTGTGTCCCGTCTCTCCTTCCCTTCTCCCTTATACAGCGCAGTTACACAATGAACAGCACCTGACAGCTAGTACAATCTCAATCTAAAGGCATATGTTAAATGTTTCTGAGTGAGTTTGACATCAATCCAATCTCGGGGCTCTTTCCTTTCTACAGTGGAAATTTTTTATTTTAAATCCACCACAAAGGGTTTAGGAATATGTGTGTGGGGGGGGAGAAAATGAAAAACATAGTCATGACTGTGAATTGGGAGATAAAAAATGAATCTTTGCAATAAGGAATTTAGTTTAGCAAGATCCTTATAAAAGGCAGACCAATAAAGGACGAGTGCTCAGGATAATTGCAGGAGAGGGCACCATGCACTCAGTGCTGTGGAATAAACAGGATGCTAATCAAATGAGGGGATTCTGAAGGGCATCTCTGAGGCTAAGCTGCTAAAAGGAGGAAGGGGAGGAACAGAGGAGGGGACGGAGGGAGAAGGAGATAGGATTTGCCACAAGGCAGAGGTAGGTAATAGTGGACACAGAGGAGGGGACACAGGAGGTCTCTGGGGATCAGGAGGGAACAGAGCATTTGCCATTTGGTGTTGAAATGTATATGGACTTCCAACTCCTGGAAGGAAGTTCCAACTCCTGGAACTGTGCTTTTGTATCTCATCAGCATAGTGTTGAGGGCACAATGTGCACTCAGCCAACTGTCCCTGAACTGAGTTCCCCTGCAGGTCTGCGGTACCTCACATAACTGCTGCCCACTACTCCCGTTTGGTGTTTTCCCACCACGGTCATTGCCCTGAGAAGGGCTGAGGTCTGTCACCCTGGCATGCCCTCTGGCATGACTATGCTACAACCTGAAGCTACTAAGATAAACCTAGCCATGGTCTCCCTAGACTCTGGGGTGCCTCTTGCAGCCATCTAGGAAATGATCTTTGTAGGCTGAACTATATTGAACAATGATGGAGAAAATCAGGAAACCCAAAGATCAACCATTAGAAGAAATCTTTCTTCCCAGTCTTGAAAAATGTAGAGGAAGAAGAAACTCAACATTTACTTGAAAAATGAGAATTGTGTACCCAAATAGATTCTACTAAAAGAACATGGGCATCAGTGGAGAATCACTTACCAGTAGGGCCAGGAGCTGTCTCTCTTCACACTCTTCAATTACATCTACGTGTAACTTCTCTTTAAATTTCTAAAATGGAAAAGCAATAGAAGTATGGAATTTCTACAAAGATTTCCATCTGATCCCTCGCCTATTAAAACCACTTCGGATACAGTTGAAACAGGCTACACATCTGTTACACACAAAGACATTCTGTATGGGAAGAGCCTTACAGCAAGTGACTAGGAAGAACTAGAACAAAGAAATATGGTTGAGTTCTCTCCTTTTCCAAAATGTAGTGGTAGCCATCTTAAGACCAAGCTATGGGTTTCAGGCCAGCAAGAGAGGAAAGAAGGAAACAGAATGGCTTGCATCTCCTTCTTTTTCAACTGCCCAATAGCAGTTGCACATGATTCACGCACGTGTTCTCATCTTTATCATCTCAATACTTTAGTCAGATGTCTTTTAACTCTTAATGGCCCCAGAAGCAAAACCAATACCTCACACCACACTACACCTGTATACACACTCAAAAAAGAAAAAACATAAAAAAAATCAAGGAATAAAAGTGATTATGTGGTCAGGCAGTGGTGGCACACACCTTTAATCCCAGCACTCAGGAGGCAGAGGCAGGTGGATCTCTGTGAGTTCAAGGCCAGTCTGGTCTACGGAGTGAGTTCTAGGACAGCCAAAGCTACACAGAGAAACCCTATCTCAAAATAAAACAAACAAACAAATCAAGAGATTATGTGATGTAGTTCCCCTTACTTTTGTAGTAATTGGAATATTGTCAGCAAAAATCCACTGGCTCTCTCAACAGAAGACAGTGGACTTGATCATGTGATTTGGTTTAGTCAGTGAGACTTCTAGAAGACTGCCATGTGAGCAAAGACTTTAAGTCCCCAGATTGCTGCTGGCCCACAAAAGTTGAGAAGTCATGGTACAAACTAGACTCACAGCTTGGTCACCAAGGCCAGTCAGAGTCCACAGCTATGTAAATAAAGCACAGCTGCTTACTGATGTAGGTAACTGAGATGATACACCAGTTGTTACACCGCATGGGAGGATAACGGCTGATTGATACATTGCTCTTCTTCAAAATACTGTTTTCTTTGCTAGTATACTTGAGTCTAGCTGTCACTGCTTCTGCTCCTACACCCCCAGGAGCTGTTTGTCACAAAGTGCTATTGGGACACTGCAGTCTGGATTTCCAGAAAGGCTAGCTCACTGGCTGAGCAGCTCCTCCCTGAACCTCACTGTGTCCCCTCTCCTTATCCCAGAACTAAGCCTCTTGTTGGCGTGACTTCCCAGTGACGAGGTGATTTCCAGAAGCTGAGGTTAAATGCCACCCGCCGTCCTCAGGACCGGACTCCCCACTTACCAAAATAGAGCCGATTTCATCAGGGGTGGCTTTTGTGTGGCTCATAACCATTTCCTGAGCTAGGTCCTTTCTGCTTTCCAGTTTGTTCACTCTCTCATAGGTGTCAGTGTTTAAAAGAGACCATCCAAGGAACTGGGTTAAAGTCTGAAGTGTAGGAAACCGTGAGTCAGGACCTCTAAAGTTAAAGAAAAGCTACTTTGTGCACAACAACATGCAGGCTTTCCCGTAGTGATCTCCCGTCCACCACGACCGACCCAATTATTTTTTTAAGATTACTTTTATTGTTGTAACTATTGTTGGAGGGTTTCATGTGTGCGTTTTGGTCAAGTTCACCCTCGATCTCTTCTTTCCAGTTTGCCTAGTGCGCCACCAGCGCTGGCCCCTCTCAACCCCGTGTGCTCTGTGCTTACACCCACTGGATCCACTGAGCGCTGCCCGCATGCGCGAGGGTGTGGGACCATCTACCGGAGCATGGGTAGCATCTCAGGGGCTCTTTCCCAAAGAAACTGACTCTTCTCCTGAAGCCACCAATTTACAATCGCTCCTCAGCTAAGGGGTGGGACTTCACGAACCCTTTCCCCACCCATGCTGACAACCCAGCTCTTTGTATCAACATCAGGAGAAAAAAAAAATCTGAATTTATTGCCCAAACAGTGAGACTGATTAAGCTTTGCTTTTCAAAGTGCCATGCCTTCAGAATATTCTACTGCAGGAAAGGAATTACAAACAGAATTAAAAAATAGGACCTAAAAATTAGGTAGGAGTTTGAGGTTAAAGATGGGAAAGATTATAAAAGAAGAAGGATATGGGATAAAAGTATTCTTTGCTGTTTTTATAGGATTGGAAAGAATTTGGGTGAAATCAAAACTTTATACTTGAACATAAAAGGTTTCAGTATATAGAAATCCAGAAACAGAAATGACACAGCAACAGCATCTTGATTACAGCCGTGAGACTCACGTCTTAGTGTTCTTTGGAATGTCATTCAGACCAAGGAGTATCTATGCAGCTGCTATCATTCCACGATGTTCAGATACATCTGTTGCTCTTCCCTAACTTACCTCGGTGATGTGCTCGTCATGCTCATCAAAGGGCTTCCCATCCTTCCTGTTGTAAAATGTTGCCACTCCCACAATGTCTTCTTTCTTGTTAACAATAGGAAGGGACAAGACGTTTTTAATGGTCCAGCCAGTTTCATCTACTGGTCCTTTCTATAAGCAATGAGGGAACTTAAATTACTTTAATATTTTCACTTTTTAATTTTGAAACAACTATAGATTTACAAGATGTTTCAAAAGAAGCATACAGAGAATTCCATGAACTCTTCATTCAGTTTCCACTGAGGGAAACATCTCCTGTAACTGCAGTACAATACCAATACCCAGGAAACAGACAATACAAAACCCATAGACCTTACTGCGGTCTCATTAGATTTATATGTGTCTTTGTGCTTGTGTGTTTGTTTATCTCTTATGAAAAATATCAACTGCTATTAGAATCAATTGAAATATCCCATTACTACAATATTCCCTTCCCACTATACCTACAACTACCACTATCCAACCTCCACTCAGCTTATTTTAAAGTAAATCCTGGGGTACACAGCTAGGATAAATATTCTAGGCTGTCCATTCAAATGTCCCAGCACTAGGGCAACTGTGTTCTGACACTATAACTTTCCCCTTTGCTCCCCACCCCTGGGGGTGGAAAGGGCTTCTTATCCATTTGTTATCTCTCTGCTTCCTTTGCAACATTTGTGTAGTTAATTTCACATGTTAGAGTCTCGCTGTTGAAGTACTTAGTGTAATTTCTATATAATCCATCAATATTGTCTTTAAGCTTATGGTATGTTCTGATTACTAAAAACTGTGAGACCCTATGACAGCCAAGACCCAAGCCAGTTGCAAGGAGTCAACCACAGGTCCTATGTCAATATGTCCCCATGCTCACTGGAGAGATGCACACAAATAGCTTCAGAAGTGTTTCTCAAAATGTGACCCAAGGACCACAGTGTTGTGGAATACTACTTTTAACTAGGCAAAGATGTGTGACATTTGTTTATGCTTTGGAATATTACTTGAATGTGTAAATGTGTGTTCCTTTTGTTTATGCTGCATCTATTTAATTATGTAAAGATGTGTTGCGTTAGTTTCACCTGGCCTGCCTAAGAGACCTGAGTGGTCTAATAAAGAACTGAATGTCCAGTAGCTAGGCAGAGAAAGGATGGGCAGGACTGGCAGAGAGAGAGAATATATGGGAGAAGAAAGCTAGTCTTGAAAGGAATGAGAGAAGAGAATGAGAAAGAGAGAGAGAAACACCAGGGACAAGAAACCAGGCAGAAGCCAGATATGAGATAGCATGAAAGTAAGATATAGAAAGAAAGAAGGTAAAAAAAAAGCCCTGAGGAAAAATATGGATGAAGAGAAACAGATTAAAATAAGAGCTAAGATAAGGATGAGCATTCATAACTAATAGTAAGTTTCCATGTCATGATTTGGAAGCTGGTTGGTGGCCTAAAAGAAAAAGCCTGGTACACCAGAAGCAATAGATTCTTTTAAAAATTTGTTTTTACATATAATTAAAAATTTTAGTTACATATTGCGGTAGTTTCAAAGAAAATGGCACTCCAAAGGGAGTGGCACTATTATGAGGTGTGACTTGTTGGAGTAGGTAAGGTTTTGTTGGAGGAAGTGTGTCACTGTGGAGGTGGGCTTTGAGGTCTCATATATGCTCAAGATACTGCCCAGTGTTGCAGACCACTTCCTGTTACCTGCGAAAGATGTGGAACCCTCAGCTCCTTCTCTCCAGCTCGATGTCTACCTGTATGCTACCATACCTCACAATGATGATAATGGACTAAACCTCTGAAAACGTTAAATCACCCCATTAAATGTTTTCCTTTATAAGAGTTGCCATGGTCATGGTGTCTCTTCACAGCAATAGAAACCCTAACTGAGACACATGTATATATGTGGGGTGGTGAGCGGGTGAGTGGACACATGTGTGTGTCTGTGTATGGGTTTGTGCATATACAAATAACCTGTTTATTATTCATCACCAGTCATTGTCCTTGGAGTGAAAAACAGAGAAACTAGACCTCAGTGTGTGGGCATTAAAAGTCAAAGCTTTAGAAAAAAGGATGCAGTTTATACAATGTTCCCAAGGTTCCATCCTTGGAAACAGCCCAGGAGCCATATCCCTGTCCTTCATGTGTAATCTAAAACCTTCCAAAACAAGCTTCACTAGCTGCTTCTGGATGCTTTAGTAAACGTCCATTTGCTACGTGTTCATTTTCATTTGTTTTGCTGTTCATTAGAGATTTTGACTGCAAATTCATAGAAGAAATCTAAAATTTAGGACAGAAACTTTAATTAAACAATTCTATGTACTTCTTCACCACTGTCTCAAACCCACCCCAGAGTTGAAGTTCTCTTTAAAGGAAGGCTTCATTTGTCTAATTCAAGGAACACTGACTGGTAAGCATAACAAAGACTCCCTGGCCAAAGATGCCTGGGCCTAATTCAGGACCTGTGAAAGTGACCTTACAGATGAAATTAGAGTTATCAGTCAGTTAACTGAGAAGCAGAAATTTCCCTGGATTTTACAGGAGGACGAATATAATAACCAAGAACCTTAAAAGCAGTGAAGTCAAAATCAGGGAAGGAACATCCCTCAGAGAAAGGTCTGGTGGTCCAGCTGCTGATGTGGAAGACAGAAGAGGCTGTGGACCATGGAATCCCAGCAGCTCAAAGGAACCAAGGGTCTGGGAAGGTCAGGACACAGACCCTTCCCTAGCATCTTCCCAGAGGAACACCATCCTCTGACATTGAGAGTTTAATATAGTATGAAACGTTTTGTGCTCTGGCCTTCAGAACAACAGGCTAATACTTGCCATGCTGTTTCCAGGGGTAAGGGGCGCTTTGTTGTTTGTTGTTGTTACAATGCTGTAGGAAACATATACATTGATCTCCAGGGAACACAATTTGAGAATCACAGCCCTCTGTTGGTTTGCTTCCCAAACAGCTCATTTTCAATGTTTGGTTTCACATTTTTTAGTTACAATAGAGAATAACGAGAATCGGGTAGGGTAAGAACGGGAAAGCAGAGAGTGAAAGGATGCTGATATTCCGTATGTCCTATCACATACATATCTGCTCTGGGGACTGGCACACAGGGCCTGCTTGGGAGGAGATGTGGGGAAAGAGCTGGGAGGTAGTTAGATAGAAGGGGTCCTCCCCCAGCTATGGAGAAAAGGATGGACACGAAGATGAGTAAAATCACCTCCCCACAGCTATGGAACAATACAGAGGGCTGCTGGGTTTTCCTAGATCAATATTGCCCAGGAAGGGGCCTGCCATACTCAGTCACCGTCTGGGAGGCAGGACCTTGGAACAAACATGAGTGCAGAGTCCAGCAGTCCTGAACCATTGGGGCACATTTCCGTGGGCACCACACTGAAATATGCTGGGTTTCTGGGAGATCGGTATAGACAGGGACTCCTGAAGGCACAGGGTCCCCCCCCCATCCTCTGTCTTCACAGTGTGGCTCCAGGGTCCCCTCAAGCCTCAGTGGGCACCTGCTAAAGCTGGGTGAGCTCCATCCTCAGATTCCACAGCAGCTGTCCCAGGTTCAGACACTTGAAAATTCGCGGTTCACCTTTCTTACGGGGGCAGTCTATCCTGGAACACAGTTGCTACAGATTTAGGGGCCAGGGCTGAGCACAACGCAATCCCAAGCAGGCTCCAGTTGCAGGAAGGGAGGGCCAAGAAGCAACAGGACCATATGGTGTTTGTGGGTTTCCACATCAGTAAGCAAAGGGATGGGCAGGCAGAGCCAGGGGAAACCTCCATTTAACCAAACAGCTGTGTACAGGTTTTCCCAAGACAGGGTTTAGTTTGCAGCTGTGGCAGGATCGCCCATACCCTAAGGAATCTGGCTCTTCCGTTCAGGCATCAATGGGACTCCGTGTGTCTACACAGCACAGAGGAAGGCAAACATTAGCCGTGATCCCTGGGGAGGACAGTCTCTACTCCTGACTCAGATCAGGAAACCCAGAACACCCAGAGTGCCAGCTTGCATAGAAGACAGGCTGTAGCAACCCGGTACAGCAATTTCATCTAGTTCTCCAAAGGGGCCAGGAAGCTCTGGCAGAGGTGATGAGCAGGTTCTTTTGGAGAATCAGATAAAGCTAGAAAGAAGATGAACTCCCAAATCCTATCATTGCTATCAACTCCTTTCTGCTGCTGTAATAGAATACCACAGGCTGGGAAAATTATTTAGAAAAAAAGTGAGTTTCTGTTTCTCAGTTTGAGAGACTGAGAGGTCTAAGAGCAGGCTCCGTAATCTCAGAGGCCAGCTCACTGCATCCTAGCAGGGCGGAGAGCATCACAGGGCCTGAAAGCGCCAGCTCATGTCTCTCTTCCTTTTCTTGGGAAGCTAGTGATGCCTTGTGCCTTCTGGCTTCACCCTCATCTATCCGCATCACTTCTAAATACACCAACCAAGGGAGAGTATGTGTGTGAATTTGCAGATTAAACTTTCAACACATGAACTCTAAGAGGTAACATTCAAACCACCGCTGTGACAGTGGGCAGAAGAGGGTTAGCCCAGACAGGTAATACAGAGGGGCTAGTTGGGGGGCTGTTCTGTGGTAAGTGGAGGAAGATTCTCCCAGAAGTGGATTTCTGAATGGTGGTTAAGAGGAGGGAAAATCCAGGGCCTGTAAGAATTTCTGTTTTCTTCTTGAGATCATAGTTACAGTACAGTGTAGGAAGGCTCCACAGGGCTGGGTTTGAGCCAATGTCTCCAGACAATCGTTCATGCACACAGAGCTATGGAGCCTCTGTCACACACCAATCTGTTGTTGCCCCTAGAGAACCAAGAATGGAAGGGAATGGGAGTGTGTCAGCATGCACGAGTGTCACACTCACACACACATACACTCACATTCACACACACATGCACTCACATTCACACACATTCACACACACTCACACACATTCACACACACACTCACACACACTCACACACATTCACACACACACTCACATTCACACACACTCACACATTCACACACACTCACACACATTCACACACACATACACTCACATTCACACACACACATACACTCACATTCACACACACTCACATTCACACACATTCACACACACTCACATTCACACACACTCACACACATTCACACACACACTCACATTCACACAAATTCACTCACACTCACACACACATACACTCACATTCACACACACACATGCACTCACATTCACACACATTCACACACACTCACATACACTCACACACACACTCACATTCACACACATTCACACACTCACACATTCACACACACATACACTCACATTCACACACACTCACACACATTCACACACACTCACATTCACACACATTCACACACACACACTCACATTCACACACATTCACACACATACTCACATTCACACACACTCACACATTCACACACACACTCACATTCACACACACTCACACATTCACACACACACTCACATTCACACACACTCACACATTCACACACACATACACTCACATTCACACACACATGCACTCACATTCACACACATTCACACACACTCACACACATTCACACACACTCACATTCACACACACTCACACATTCACACACTCACATTCACACACACTCACACACATTCACACACACACACTCACATTCACACACACTCACACATTCACACACACTCACATTCACACACACACTCACATTCACACACACTCACATTCACACACACTCACACACATTCACACACACACTCACATTCACACACACACTCACATTCACACACACACTCACATTCACACACACTCACACATTCACACACACACTCACATTCACACACACTCACATTCACACACATTCACACACACTCACACATTCACACACACTCACATTCACACACACTCACACACATTCACACACACTCACATTCACACACATTCACACACACACTCACATTCACACACACTCACACACATTCACACACACTCACACACATTCACACACACACTCACATTCACACACACTCACATTCACACACACTCACATTCACACACACTCACACATTCACACACACTCACATTCACACACACTCACATTCACACACACTCACACACATTCACACACACACTCACATTCACACACACTCCACACACTCACACACTCACATTCACACACACTCACACACATTCACACACACACTCACATTCACACACACTCACACATTCACACACACTCACATTCACACACACTCACACACATTCACACACACTCACATTCACACACATTCACACACACTCACACATTCACACACACTCACATTCACACACACTCACACACATTCACACACACACTCACATTCACACACACACTCACATTCACACACACACTCACATTCACACACACTCACACATTCACACACACACTCACATTCACACACACTCACATTCACACACATTCACACACACTCACACATTCACACACACTCACATTCACACACACTCACACACATTCACACACACTCACATTCACACACATTCACACACACACTCACATTCACACACACTCACACACATTCACACACACTCACACACATTCACACACACACTCACATTCACACACACTCACATTCACACACACTCACATTCACACACACTCACACATTCACACACACTCACATTCACACACACTCACATTCACACACACTCACACACATTCACACACACACTCACATTCACACACACTCCACACACTCACACACTCACATTCACACACACTCACACACATTCACACACACACTCACATTCACACACACTCACACATTCACACACACTCACATTCACACACACTCACACACATTCACACACACTCACATTCACACACATTCACACACACTCACACATTCACACACACTCACATTCACACACACTCACACACACTCACACTCACACACATACACTCACATTCACACACACATACACTCACATTCACACACACTCCACACACTCACACACGCCTTCCATTTCCTCTTATTTTCCTTCTCTTAGACCCCTTCTTCCTTAACTGAGGAATCTGCTTCTTGGTGGCCATTGGCCCAGCTAGAGTTTTGCAACTTGGGCTGCATGTGTGCCTGCTGACCACACCTAAGGCACAAGGAAAGCAGACTCTATGGATAAGGAGGCAGAGAGAGCACCCACCTTGCCTCCAGGGATGAGGCAGGGTCATGGCCACCTTACCTGAAATGTGAAGTACTCGTCTGCAGGGGCATTCAGCATGTTGCAGATCTGTGAAGCAGGAGACAGAGTCCTTCTGAAACATCGTGACAAGCCCACGGGGTTGGGGGGGGAGTGAGGAGTGTGTGTGGAGTCAGAGTTTCCCACTCGAATCTTGGCAGCTTGGTAAACACGTTAACACACACTCCCTAGGTTAGACCACATCTAGTTAGCCCAGGTTAGGCTCACTGAAGTCACTCCTCTTCTGCTACCTCCTGACTGACATCTAGTGCCATCTTGGCTCCTCTCTACTTTCCCACCTCCGAGTGATGTCCTTTGCCAAACAACTCCTCAGTCCAAGCAAAGGAGAAAGGTGAACGGAAAGACTGCCCTGCTAAGGCAGGTGTTAGCGGTGTGGGCCTGCTTTCTATTCTTTCATAAAATAAGGTGCCTGAGGGGTAAGAGGAAGCGGCCAGGCAGTGTTTTAGTCACTCCAAAGTAAGAATTCCCTATGAGAAACTGCTCTGACAGCCGGAATTCAGAGAATGCTGCTCAAGGCCATTTTGAGTTGCTCTGAATCATCTGTACCTGGGTCTTATTACAAACAAGTCTTAACAAAAGATTTAACACCAAGTTCAACAGACAGCATGCTAAGCCTGGATGGTAATGGCTGAGCTGTACTCTCCTTTCAAAGTTGAGGACATTGAAGTCCAAATGAGTTCAGGGCTCTGTTCAAATTCACTGGATGAAACTCAAATTGTCATCTCCAAAGAGGGCTGGTGGGATGGGTCCTCTGGGTAGGGTTTGGGGAGAACCTTGGGGTTGTATAAGTTGCCCATTCACCTGGTGTAAACACTTCTACTGTGGAGTGTGCAGGCTGCCAACACTTACCTGCTCACAAAATGCCTGGAAAAAAAACCTGACAGCTTTAGGCAAGTTCTGAAGGATTATCTCTCACCCGATACAAAGCTCCGTGAGCCACGGAAACTGCTAGGGTTAAGTGCTTTCTAAGAGTGGGTGAGACATATCTACTTTTTTTTACACTAGCCTTACAAGGAAAATGTGAAGATCTTCCAAAGCTTTTAGTTATTTTGGTGCATATTTTCTTTGGGTTTTTTGTTTGTTTACTTGTTTTTTGTGTGAGTCTGGATTTCCCTATGCTGCTCTGCAGTGTGTGGGATTAGCAATGCCTTATAGTCACCCTCCTCACTGCCAGGATCACAGGCACGCACTCCCCCCACACACTGCATCTAGCTGTTTCTATGGGTATTGGTAGTTTAAGAATTTGAGGACTCTTCAGTGCCATTATTAATTTCATTATCTAATTTGAATGTTTGGCATTGTCTCATGGACCACGGACCTCGAAAGTGTGGCTTAAAGATGCAATACCATCAGCCCTTTTCTTCTAATCTTTCTGTCATGGACATGCTTTTCTGCCTTTTCTATGAGGTCTTGGAGAAAATGCCCATGGTCATTAACACCGGAGAGCATTTGAGATGGACTTGACCTATCTAGAGTCACAACCCTTGACTTCTAAATACCCCACTTTAAATGGACGTCTGAAAATAATGCACTTGAGAAGTAGATGAATCTTTCTTAAGTTAACTAAGTATTTTCACATAATTTCAATGCTCTGATTAACTTACATTGTCTTTTCCTAGCTGCCTTCCCTTTCTCCTGTGCCAAAGAAAGTGGTCATCTCACCCTTATCTAATGTGTTCTTGGTTCAGCTCTTGTGTTTACTTTCTAACGGATAAGAGTTTTACACATTGGTGTTTAGTATTTAAGTTTGTCTAATGACTTACAAATCCATTTTCAGCAACGTATGTTGGCAATCCACTGAGGAGTGTCCAGTGGTCTGCAGGCGGTGACCTTGGAGAAGATTAGAAAAGTCATTGGCATATATAGAAATGATCAGGTACGAAACCCCAGGGGCAACTCCTATGGCTACTTCAGGGAAACACGCACGGAATCACGTTGATCTCTTCTTTTCCATGTAAAATGTAATCGATGATTTTATAGAAGATGATTTCCTAGGAGGGAAGGAGATTGTGGGTACAATATTACTTCCCAAAGAAAACAATCATCACTAGAGAATGTGTGCTTTGAAATTCTTATAAATAGCACCAGTAGCCAGGTGGTGGTGCATGACTTTAATTCCAGCACTCGGGAGACAGAGGCAGGCAGATCTCTGTGAATTCAATACCAGCCTGGTCTACAGAGTAAATTCCAGGACAGCCAGGGTTGTTACACAGAGAAATCCTGTCTTGAAAAACAAAACAAGCGACAACATTGTGCCAGTGGCTCTGACGCCTCCCTGATGACAAGAACTGCAGACCCACCCTCCACGCCTGGGGTTTGTGGAAAAGGAAAGCAAGAGTTTAATGAGATGTTACAGTCTACCCTGCTGTACAGGACAGAGCTTGTCAGAGTCCCAATGAAGTTTCTTTCCTCCATGCCCTTCAGCTTCTTGGCATTATACCCAGACAGCACTAAAGAAGATGTTTGAATTTACCCTGCCATCTGGAGTCTTTGGTCCTCTATAAGGTTCGACTTCTCCAAGCTTGATTGGCCACTCATCATAAAATTCCTGGAGGCAATTATATTTAAACATTATTAAACAAACTGTCCCACCATTCACCATACCTGACCTAAAGTATATGCACTCTCATACTTTATGTTAATTTACATAGTTCTGGAATTTTAGACTTGAAAAACAATAACCCTATAATTCTCAGTAATATTGCCCATGAACCTGTGACTATGTCCAAGTTCCTTAGCTTTTATTCATCTATAAAATGGGGATAGTACAACTTCAGCTTGCTGTGAAGATTAAATGAACAATATGTGCCAAACACTTGCTAATGGTTCAAAGAATTCCATGTATAGCGTCTGTTTTGTAGACAACCAAATTGAGACCAGGTAGGTTAAGAAATTTAGTTAAGGTCACTCAGAGCAGCCAGCAGTATCAATTGCCTTAACTAACACCTGTTCTCCTCCATGTTGCTAGTTAAGAAATTTAGTTAAGGTCACTCAGAGCAGCCAGCAGTATCAATTGCCTTAACTAACCCTGTTCTCCTCCATGTTGCTAGTTAAGAAATTTAGTTAAGGTCACTCAGAGCAGCCAGCAGTATCAATTGCCTTAACTAACACCTGTTCTCCTCCATGTTGCTAGTTGGACCCCATTTCATTTGGCTACCAAGGGGTAATTTGCTCAGGAAAGAAAGGCATATCCCATAGAGGTCTATGCGACGCACCCAGATTAATTTCAAGCATGTGTCTCAGTTTAGACCAGTGAATGGGGTCGGGGGAATATGCTGAAGCGCTAAGATGAAGGTGTTCTTCGGATGGAAAGTGATGTTTCCCTTATATCCAGAAGCATCCTAAGCTGCTGTTAGAACCTCGATCTTCTGCTGCCTGGTCCTATGTTACCTGCTTAGAACACTGACTTTGAAAAGCAACTGCCAGTCACATGAGTAGTAAGAAATATAAATGGTACCGAGTAAGTTATATTGAAATCCCAACCTTCCAAGAGAATTAAAGATGAGTGTGGGCATCTTACTGTGAATAATATTAATTGTTCCTTTCTTTCTATGTTAGAATAATTGTTTAAGTAAAAAATGTCAAATAAGTACTAACATTCATTTCACACCTACAATGTACTCAGTGCCTTATAGCTCCCAGATTTTCAAAGCTGAAAAAAAGAGAAGTTCCTACTTTGCTGATGAGAGAGCCAAGAACCAGCACAATGGAAAACCTTACTGACATGAAGGACAGAGTGCTGACAGTGCCTGCCTTGGAGCCCTGCGTTAGAGCCATAGCAATATCAAGTCCTGTGTTAGAGCCATAGCAACCTCAGGCCCTGCATTAGAGCCGTAGCAACATAGACAGTGTGGTATCAGCACAGGAGAGAGAAATCAGAATGTGGAAGAGAGAGGAGAAGCGGACCCACACAAACATAACCAACTGGTCTTTGGCAGAAGAGCAAAGAATAATGAGATAAGCTCAAATTTTATTGGAACAATGGTATCCAGGAAGAAAAGAAATCTTGTTTCTTTAATAAAAATAACTCCGAATTACTTACAGATCTATTAACTATAAACAAAAAACTATAAGAATTCTGGAAGTTGACATGGGAGAAAAATCTAGATGAGCTTGAGTTTGGAGAGACTTTTTAGACACAGAACTAGGGCACAATATATACAGAAAAAGGTATTGGACGGTATTAATTTAAAAAATTTGCTATAGAAATGTTCCTCACAAAAATATGAAAAGACTGAGGGAAAACATTTGTAATACAGGACTAGTATCCAGAATATTCTCTAATTTTCTCAGACTGTCTAAAGTTCTAGTTATTCTCTTGCCTCCAGAGTGCTGGGATTGTAAATACACACTATCACTTCTGGTTGCTGGAAGCAGAGAAGTCAGCTTAAAAATGGGCAAGAGATCTGAATAGACATTTCACCAGATGAGAAATACCATGGAAAGTAAGCACATGAAAACTGTTCAACATTTTATGTGGCCGGGGACTGCAAATTCAAACAGTGATGTACCACTACATGTCTTGAAATGGATGAAACCCAAATACAGAGAGCACTAACTCTTGGGAAGAATGTAAATATGCAAAAGGACAGTCACTTGGGAAGACAGAGTGACAGTGCTTTACAAACAGTCTCCCTGGATTATCAAACAACTGGACTTTCTACCATTTACTCAAGTGAGTTGAAAATATTTATATTCAAAAACCCATACATGATGCAGCTTTATTCATGATCACCCCCAAATTAGAAGCAACCATAATGTCCTTCACTACGTGAGAAACAGGGTGCCTTAGGATGCACTACTATTCACTAACAAAAATACATGATCTCTAGCAAGGATGTGGAGTTGACCTAAATGTCCAGCAGCAAATTAATGGATAAAGAAAATGTAGAGCATATACTCAATGAGATACTGTCCAACCAGAAAAGACAAGAAACAAAACATGTGTGATTGTGACAGTGTTGGTAAACCTGGAGAGCTATGCTAAGAGAAACTGGCTAGGCACTGAAAGACACACATGTGGTTCAATGTGCATGTGCAACCTGAAAGTCAAACACAGAAGCAGAGGGTAGAGTGTAGTTACCAGAAGCTTGGGAGTAGGCCATTGTCAGGACAGGAAGGAGCTGCGCAAATACCACAGCATTCCAGCCAGGCAGTAAGTTTGCAGGATTTATTACAGAAAAACACAACCAAAGTCACTAGGTACTATATACTTGAAAGCTGTTAAAAGACTAGATTTAAATGGTATGACCACTATGTAAAGTAATCAACATGTCAACCACTTTACTGTAATCTTATAATGTATGAAAATATCACACTGCACCCCATAAATAAGTGCAACTATCACTTTTTAAATCTTAAGATATAAAAATTTTAAATGAGTTATCAGAAAGTTAGGCATGGTAGCACATGCCTGTAGTTCTAGAACTCAGAAGGCTAAGACAGGAGCATTGTCTTAAATTTGAGGCTAATCCGGGCTAAATATAGTGAATACTAGGCCATTTGGGGCTACATATTGAGAAGATAGCAGAAGGCACTTTAGAGAAGGAGCTTAAGAGAGACAAATGAGAGGCAGCCTCAGAGCATCCATGTTTGTAACCTGTGTCTCCTCCCGGCTTTCCCTCCCTCCTCTTCCATCCCACCTATGTTTAGTACCCAAGGCCATCTTAGCAGGCCGTCTCAACTCTGTTCCTGCCCTATATGGCTTGCTTTCCTTCTCATTTTAGATTTCCCTTTCCTTTTTCTTTTGCTCTTTTCTCTTCCCAGAGAACATGATCTGCCTGGCTTGCAGGGTCCCTGTGTCCCAGCCTTCTGAGACAAGACTATTCTTCGTTGTCCTACAGCATGTCTTTTTTCCCCTTCAGTCTGCCTCTCACCTAAATTACCTCATTGCCCTGACATCTCCCTCTTCCACTTTTTTCTGTGTCCCCAGTACTAACCACATGTTTACTGTGATTTCTTCTTGTGCTCCCTGACACTGCTGGCACCTATGATAACTAATCTAGTAAAACACATAGTGTTATCAACACCCTTTATTTCCTAAAGTGATTAGTATTTAAGGAGTGATTGTGGCACAATAAACTATTATTATATTTTCTTAGTGCATCTACCTACCTCTGGATATCAATTGTTGTTACAGGATAGGGCTGGGAATAGAGTCTGGTTCCCTGGTGTTTTACAAAGAAGAATGATGCCTCAACTTCCTATGACCCAGCCTCTTCTGGATATCGCTAACACTCCCAACTGGAGGGAATAAAAAGGTGACCTAAATTCAAAATAGTTTTTTAAAAATACAATCAACAACCTAATTCCTGATACACAAATCTCAATACAAAACATATGAAAACTCAAGACAGCATGTCCCTTCCAAAACCTAGCAAATGCCATAGTAAATGCCCCCAATGACAATGACTTACATGAAATTGTGGACAAAGAACTTCCAAAGGAGTAAGGATAAATATATTCAAAGAAATGAAAGAAGACAAAGGTAGATGTCTGAGTAAATTTTGTGAGAACATAGAAACAGTTGGATAAAATAAGGAAGTCAATGTAAGATATGAAAATGAAGTGTGATAAAGAGACAAACATACTAAAGAAAAACCAAACTGAAAAGGTGCTGGAAATGAAAGTTTCACTTAGTCAAATAAAATGTTCAATGGACAACCTCACTAATAGAATGGTTCACAGGAAGAGGGAACATCAGGACTTGGAGACAAGATATAGAAGCTGGTACATTCAGTTGAAAACAACAACAAATTTACATACAAAGAGAATACACAAGAATTTGGGATGCCACGAAAAGATCAAATCTATTAATTATGGGCATAGAAGGAGAATAGTATCATGCAAAAGGCATAGAAAATGTTTTCAATACAATCAGCAGAAAATTGCCTAAACCTAGAGAAAGAGAGGTCCATCTAAGTAGAAGAGGCATACAGAAATCCAAATAGGCGAGACCATGAAAAATAACAACAGCAAATCCCTACATCACATCACAGTTAAAACACTGACTGACTAGATAGCACAAGGAACACAGCAGCAAGAGAGAAAAATGACACACACAAAAACAGGCTCATGAGAATAACAGCTGACCTCTCAAAAGAAGCTTCCAAAGCCAAAGGGCAGGGAAAAGTGTATTTTAAATTCTGAAAAACATCAGCTGCCAACCCAGCTTCTATACCCTGTAAAATTATCTACTACAATTGATGTAGAAATGAAAGCATTAGTGATAAGAGCAGGCTAAAGGAGTGTGTGATTGCTAAGCCAACTCTGCAGAGGATATTGGGCAGAATTTTTCAGACTGAAGAAAATGGTAAACACACTTATGGCCGGTAGGGAAAAAGGGGGGTATAACTGTGGTTAAACAAATGAGAATTAGCGAAACACCAGATGCTACATGATCAACAAAATGACATGAATTATTACACACCTTTAAATAACAACTCTTCAATGTCTTAGTTCCCAAATCAGAAGAGAAAAAAAATCCATTTTGTTTCTGCCTCCAAGAAACACACTTTGCCTTAAAAAACAGGTTCTGTATAATGGCAAAGGAATGGAAAAAGGTATTCCAAGCAAAAGGAATGGGAGTCAATATCTTTGCATTTAACAACATAGAGTTTAAACCAATTTAACTCAAAGGAGATCAAGAAGGTTGTTAAAACATCCATCAAAAGGATGTTTCCTTTCTGTAAATTAATTATATAAGAAATAAGAGAATAATTTAGATCGTAGACATTGCAAATCAAGTTTCCTTTTCAAAAGGACATTTGCAATTCTAAATGTACATACAGCAAACATAGGTGCACACAATTTCATAAAATGCTATGTAAAGTCACAGGTTAACCGTAACACAGTAGTGGTTATTTTAATATCCTACGCATACCAATAAACAGGTCATCCTGACAAGAAATATGGAGATCAGGGAGTTATGTGACAACCTACATGAAATGGATTAAAAAGATGTCTCCAGAACATTCTATCTAAACACTACAGAATATACATTCTTCTCAGCAATCCATGGAACTTTCTCTAAAATAAGATCACATTTTAGGGCACAATGCGAGTGGATTACTTTTCTGTTGCTGTGTAAAATATCACGACCAAAAGCATCTGAAGGAAGAAAGGCTTTATTTTAGCTTATAGTTTCAGAGGGACAGAGTCCATGATGGCAGGAAAGGCATGGCTTGGTGGCAGGAGCAGGAAGCTGAGGGATCACATGTGCACTCACACATGGAAGGCAAAAAGAGAGAACAGGAAGTGGGCAAGACTATAAACCTCAAACCTCCTCCTTCCACCACCAGGGATGGACTGCCTCCAGAGAGGCTCCACTTCTTAAGGTTGCATAGTCTTCAAAAACAGCACTACAAACTGGAGAACAAGGGTTAACATATACAAACCCATGAAAGACATCGTTCATTCAAACCACCATATATCAGCAAATATATGACAATTGAAGTAGCCGCTTGTATCACATCTGACAACATTGAATAATGCTAGAAATCAACAGTAAGATAATGCCTAGAAAACACACAAGCTTAGGGAAATGACAACTGAATGATGATTGGGTCACTAAAGAAGAAAATTAGAAAATTGCTAGAATTGAAAGAAAGTGAAGATATACCCAAAGCAGTGGGACACAATGGAAGTAGTTCTAAAAGGAAATCACAGCTGTAAGTGCCTACATTAAAAACACACACACACACACACACACAGATTTCTCAAACAGGCAACTTAGGATGCACCTTAGGGCCTTGAAAAATCAAGAACAAGTAAACCCAAAAGGAGTACACAAAAAGAAAAAATTGTGGAAGAAATGAAATAAAATTTAAAAATGCAAACAATCAATGAAACGAACAGTTGGATCTTTCAAAAGATAAACAGGAGTAACAAACTGTTAGCCAAACCAACAGATCTGTGTGTGTGTGTGTGTGTGTGTGTGTGTGAGTGAGAGAGAGAGAGAGACTGAGAGACAGAGAGAGAGAGACAGAGAGAGAGACTGAGAGAGAGAGAGAGACAGAGAGAGAGAGACAGAGAGAGACTGAGAGAGACAGAGAGAGAGACAGAGAGAGAGAGACAGAGAGAGAGAGACTGAGAGAGAGAGACTGAGAGAGAGAGACTGAGAGAGAGAGACAGAGAGAGAGAGAGACTGAGAGAGAGAGAGACTGAGAGAGAGAGAGACTGAGAGAGAGAGACTGAGAGAGAGAGAGACTGAGAGACAGAGAGAGAGAGAGACTGAGAGAGAGAGACAGAGAGAGAGAGAGAGAGACGATACGCCCATGTTAATAAAACTGGAGAAGAAAAAGTGGGATACTACAACAGCTACCATGAAAATTTAAATAAAATTTAAATTTACATAAAAACTACTAAGAACATTTATATTCAACAAAACAAGGGGGTGCCTAAAGAAATTAGTGAGTTAGATGAGTATGACCTCCCTATCAAAATTAAACCAAGAGAGATAAGTAATTTAAACAGGTGTATAGGAAACAACAAGATTCAAGCAGTAATAAAAAAATGTCTCCAAACTAAAAGAAAAGTGCAGGCCAAGGTAGATTCACTACAGAACTATAGCAGACCTCTGCAAACAGCTAACACCAATCCTTTCAAATTATTCCACAAAACAGAGAAGGAAGAAATGTTTCTAAACTTATTTTGCAAAACCAGTATTATCAAGTTACCCTGGTATCCAAATAACACACACATACACGTACTCATTACAGGTCAGTTTCCCGGATACACATAGATGCAAAGGTTCCAAATAAAATATTTGCAAACTAAACTTAAGAATACATCAAGAAGATTATTCATCACAATCAAGCTGGCTTGAAGTGCAGACAGTTCAATACATGTAAATCAATCTCTGTAATTCATCATATACATGAACTCAAGTACAGAAATCACATAGTCACTTAATAGAAGCAGAAAAAAACTTTGACAAAATGTAACATCATTTCTAATAAAGGTCCTGAAGAAACTAGGAATGAAAGGAACATGTCTCAATGTAATAAAGGACGTGCAGGATAAACTACAGCCAACATTGTGTTAAATGGGAAAAAAATCTAAAAACATTTCTACTAAGACCAAGAAAAAGACAAGGATGTCCACTCTTTTCACTCCTTTTCAACATAATGCTTGAAGTCTTAGCTAGGACAATAAAGCAAGAGAATAAAAGAAAGGGACACAAACAGGGAAGGAAGGAGTCAACATACCCATATTTGCAGATGACATGATCCTATACATAAAAGACCCCAATAACTCCTCCAGAAAAACCCTTAGAGCAGACAGGCACATTTGTCCAACTGGAAGGCCACAAAAATGCCAGTAGTCTCCGTATACATAAACGGTTCTTAAAGTTGAGCTACTCTGTGTATACCACAGGAATGCAACATTTTTTAACAATAGGAAATCTAATGGTGGGAGTGGGTGGGAGATGATACTGGAATTTTGTACTTTCTGCTCCATTGATTATAAGCATAAAGCCAGTCTAAAATTAAAGGCCAATAACTAATCAAAACAAGACTGGCTGGTGATAAATACAGGTATGAAATAGATTAGCCAAATCTTAAGCCCGTGTCACTTTGCTCCTTGTTGCTCACGTTAGCCTCTGTCCCATGCCTTTGTAGCACCAGACGTTGCTACCAGTCATGACTGGTTATTCACATAGCATATCTGTTTGTCAATGGACCATGTTTCATTTTGGTATGCACTCTCTAGGTGACCTGAGAGGAGACGAGACATATAGAACATGAAAACCTTCTCCTTGGTCATGTCCAGAAGACCAATGGAGTAGCGCTCGCAGTTCAGGTATGTTCTGATGGTGTACAGTGCTTTATGAAACTGCCGCTCAACATCGGTGAGCTCTTCAAATACTTTATTGGCTGACCACATAAGGATCTGAAAGTGAACATTAAAAAAAAACAGAACAAAATGAGAGAGGGGAAGGGAGAGGGAGAGAGACAGATGAAGAGAGAATATTAGTTCAAAAAATATGAAGCGTATCAAAAAAAATGAATACATCTCACAAGAAACTGCAGTTCTGTTTTGAACCTCCAACAAATAGCATGGGTTCCCAAGTGGAGTGATATATAATCATGGGTCATAAGCCCATGACCTTTTCCAAGCCACCAGCTTGTGAAAGGGGAGGACACATGATCAGTCTAGCATAAAGAACAAATGCTCCCTATCTTTACAAAGGATTCAGTATCAGTGGGCTGCCAATGGGCCTCATGAGTAGAAAGTCACATGACTCCCCCATGCATCCTTAGTTAGTCAGAGTTAGCCTAACCTGGAAAGTTGGAATAGGGAGGGACCTTACACCATTCATCCCAAGACCTGAGGATCCTAGCTGCAGATATTCCTCTTTACCCCTTTATCTCCTGGAAACAGTAAACCACAAATGAATGATTCTTTTCTTACAATAGCCCTGAACTAAGAGCTTTAAGTAAGAACCTGTGACAATTTAAAGTCATTCCAACTATATGAGATGGGTAATGTAATCACCACCACATCATAGGTGAAGAATCCGCAGGCAACCGGAACACAGACTGAACAAGGCCAGCTGCTTGTCCATACAGATGGAGAGCTGAAGGCTGGGAGAGAAGGCAGTGAGGACCCCTGGACTAAGGTCTGGGGATCTGCTCCCTGTGGCTTAAACCCTCGTGAAGGATAAGAGGGGTCTGGCTTGCTGCTGCTGCTGAGTCCCTCTGCCAGAGCAGATGAGCATGGAATGACTATTGCCATTGTCCCATTACCTGGCTTCTCCGGGACTCCACGCTGTACAGGTAGCCAGTGTGCTGCAGCCTTAGGGCAACAGCAACAAAACCAAGGTACTTGGAAAAGACCTACAGGCCACAGAGAGGAACAGGTTACAGTTGGGATCCCTTCTTTTGGTTGTACAAGTCACTTGCTGTGTGTGTTTGATGGGACACTGGGTTAGCATTACCTCTTCATCCTGTTTGGAAAACCCAGGAGCATTGATTTTGTTCACTGCCATGGCCACAGCAAGGACTTCCTTCCCCACCACAATGGGGACTGCCAGCAGGTTCTTGGTGACATACCCAGTTTGCTTGTCCATAAAGTCAGAAAAATGGCTGTTCTGGAAAAAAAAGAAAAAAAAAGAAAAGTTCACAAGCTTGCCAATAGAGGACAGAATCGTAGAGTGGTAGCTCTGAGACACTGTAATTAAAATCTTAACAGCAGATGGCAGGGACTCCGCCCCCAACCCCTACCCCATGTCTTTCTACATCCAGCGTGGGATGGAACTGTCCATGTTGGAATGTTCATTTCCCACCCAAGCAGCTGCTTATCTGGATCAGGCACAGGTGGGGCCAGGAGGAAAGAGGTGCTATCCCAACCTGGTGGAAAGTGAGGTATTAAGAAGATGAAAAGGGGGTCAGAGGGTTACAGAAGCATGTATGGGGAGGGGAAGCACACCAGGACAGCATTGTCTAACTGCAAATGCAACATGGACAGTTGAAGCCCTCTAGCAAAGCAAAAGGAAAAAAACATCAGTAATCTCTCAAGACCACTGTTTCTCAACCTGTGGGTTGCAGCCCCCTTGACAAACCTGTCTCCAAAATATTTACATTACAATGCATAACAATAGCAAAATTATAGTTATGAAGTAGTGACAAAATAATTGCATGGTTGGGGAACACCAAACTGGAGATACTAAAGGACTGCAACATTAGGAAGGTTGAGAACCACTGCTTAAAAGCCCCACTTGTGAAATTTGGTAGTGACTGCTTGGTGACCTCCTTCTAGATCTTTCTCTGTGATTAGATAAAGATGTCTCTAGTTTATATTTATTTTTCTAACTTTATGTGATACTTTTATCACTTAACCTCGTCTTAGGGACTTCCCTCCAGAGTGATGCCTGTGACTGTGGACTCCCCTCTTAGATTTTAAAATGACACTCCATGTAACTGTCCTCTATTGAGCAGTCTGTTCATAATTTCTCACAAGATCAGCACTGCCCCAGGTATTGGGATTGCAGGATTGTGCCATCCTGTCTGGTCCGTTAAATTCTTGTCCCCTCTAATTGTTCAGTGAGATCACCTGGCTGCTGTCAGTACTTACTAGTTCTCCAAAGGTATTCTCAAGCTAAGGTCTTTCCTTTCATACTTTTTTATTTCTTTTGAGAGAAGAGAAAGAAAGGAGTCTTCTTGGATATAAACTCCTACAGCAGCTGCAGGAGGTCATGCTGATGCATGGCGAGAGTTGACTGCTGAGTTTGGAGGGTAAGTGTTCCAAGTCAAGGACTTGAGAAATAGGTTGGGGAGGCACTTATTATATGCCCTGCATTTTCAGAGGACACTCACTCTAGAGGGATGAGACTCATTGGCCCAAGTATAGGTTGCTCTCCACGAACTGACCTTAGGGCCCTATTGCTGAAGACAACACCTACACAACTCATTGAACATGGAGATGTCGAGCTGGAGACTACACAGAGCCCTCACCCCTGTATTCTAGTGTCTTTGGCACAGGAAGGTATTCTGCATGCTACCAGAGGAGAAATATAAACACCAACCTAGGATTCTGTTTTGTTTTTAAGACAGTGGTATTTGATTGTACCTTAGGTCCCTGGGCTATGAAGTCAAAGGTAGTAGTTAACTGAGCAACTATTCATTTTATTTAGTTGTCTCCATCCTCAGGGGGTGGAAACTCAGTCCATTACAGTGACTAGATCTCAGACATGGATCTGCACGCAGGCCTATCATGGCTTCCCTGTCACCGCCTTCATGGTTCCCAAGGTCAGAAGCAACCACCTCTGCATCTTTGTCTAGGTGTCACCTACACACCCACCTATGTCCACACTGTTACCCAGATGAGAGATGTGTGTGGTCAGTGGTGTGTTGGAAAAGGAAGGTCTTGGGGACCTCGGTGACTGCTCCAGACCTCATGCGCTGCCTTTCTGACTATAGATCCTTACTACAGAGACAGAAATATCAGTCATGAGCCACGCCATCTGTAAAGAATCCTTGTCAAATAAAGCTAAGAAGTGAAAATTCTTTATTAATTGGAAAATTCGATGGATAGGTAAATAGTGAGTCCAATTTCACTTAAAACTTCAGCTCCAACCTTTCTTTGCTGCAGATTTTCCTGCAGCAGCCAAAGCATGGTGAAGCTGTGGGGATGCAGAGAGGAGATAGGGCACTAACCAGAGTCAGAAGGCCTTGCTTCCATCCCAGTTCTTCTGGTCACTGACACCTGCCATGGACTCTGGAGAGGACTCTGTTCTGTGGCCTCAGACTTCCCATCTGACATAGAAGAGGGCTGGGCTGGAGCTTCACCAAGCCTTCCCTTCTCAGATATCCCACATTTGAAGAAATTCTCTGCCCTCCTGTAGCTGCTCACCCAACAGGCCTGCGGTTTTCTGCACTGCCTGTATATTGGTACCAACTGGGGAGCCTGTGTCCCGAACTAAGAGTATGCTATGGTTGGTCTGTTGGAGTCGCAAGTTTCGGCATTATCAATTTGATTTAATGCATAGCTGGAGTTGAAAATCACCTCTCTAGTGGAGGAAGTGCTTCTAACCTACAGACATGGAGAGCAATGAGGCCTCAGACTCCGCCTGAGCTCAGCATGTCTGGCTTCAATACATGTGCCTCTCCACCCGATTCTAAACAGCAGGAGTGCTGAGGGAAACAGGGAGGCTTTTCCCCTGCATCCACCAACCTAATAGCAAAGCTCCAAGGACAAGACAGGCCAGAGGGACATCACCTTTGAAGCAATGCTTACTGTTATCTCCTCATTATCAGAAATCATTTTACCCAATTCTCCTTGGGGAAAAAAATTGTGCACATCAGACTGTGAAGTTTGATGTCTTTGTAATTTTGGAGATGTGAAGAAGCATGCTCTCTTCAGAAAACTCCAGGCATCAGGACACAGCCTGTTAGCTGGGGTCAAGAGAAGCTGTCTTAAGAGCACATATCAACCCTTGGACCTGAGGGGCGTCCTGCAGTTGTTTGCGTATTGGTGCTAATGTTTGACGCACTGATCCTCCCTGTCTGTGCAAACCTTCTGTAATCCGCTTCAGGAGGCATTTGGAGATTATCTCCGACCTCTCCGCTGCCCTTAGTCACGAGCCAGTTGATGGACCCTGAACAGAAGGCACTGCCGGGGCTGCCCTCTGACTCATCTCCTCTCCATCAGAACAGGGGTGTCCCTTTCTGTTAATAGCAAATCACAGCAATGGGACACAGGTGGAAGAATGCACTGCAGGCAGAAACTGCAGGCTGGTGCTCTCCGAGCTTGCCAGAGGGGGATCATGGGTGATTAACATTTTGTAATGCTTTTCTAAAACGATCACGTGTGTCAGTGGTCAGATGGAAGAGTTGATTCTCTGCTTCCGTGAGGAGCATAGCGATGCCTTGTATTAATTAGCACAGCGCTGTCTTGGTCTTCGGTAGGATGCAAATGCCTCCTTATAATATTGGAATTTGTGACAACTGGAATTTGTGACTGAGCATCCCAGGTGTGGGGGTGGGGACAATTGCACGGAATCACTTAAATCCATATCTGTGATGATTCAAGTCAAATACTTTAACCTTTGAAGAGTGGAAAGGATTTCTTTTTTGCACAGTGACCTATGGATGCAAGAATCTACCTGAGTCAGTTCATCCCAGAGAAACCTCCACGGGTTGTGACTGAGAGGCATGGGAAATGTTCCCTGTGCTAGCCTTCGGTGTGTCAGCTAATCTCCTAGGGGACTTGGCAGAACGGTAGTGGCCAAGGCAATGGAGGAAATGGGGAAAGATGAGGAACACACTAGGCCCAGCCAGGAGCCCCTGATTTAAAAACAGCAGCAATAAAAACACTTCAAGACACACTACAGAGCAGTACTCACCACACTCTGAAATTCCAGCTTCACTGGGCAACTCGTATTTTGTTAATTGTAGCCTGGCTAGATCTGTGACAAGACCTCTGCCCGACTACAGGAAGGGCCACCTACCTTTTTTACATCTGAGACATTAACCGCTGTCTTCTCATGAGCGACCCAGCCCACTATCCCAATGTCCAATGGAAACACAACTTCTCTGTCAGGGGCCACAAGGTTGTCCTCAAACTTAGAAGTTGGGGTGATGTCCAGCAGCCTGGAGGCCACTTCGGGTATGCCATTTCTTGCTCGGCATATGAACATGCTGCAGCAGTCAGCCTGTAGAAGCTGAGCCAGCCTCTGCAGGACCCTGTGAGTCACCCGCTCGGCGCTGCCTGCTTCATCCTGCGTAGACTGCAGTAGCTCCAGGCACAAGGCTGTCTCCTCCACCTGCATCGTCTCAGCGCCCGGCGCCTCCACCCGTAGCTTCTTGTCAAAGTACTCCTTGGCAAACCGAGGGTTCTCTTCCAGGTATCTCTCGACAGCATCTTGGCTCATCTCAGCCATGGTGTGGCTTGTGTTGCTGCTGCTGTCGAGAGAGGAGGGTTCCTCAGAGTGACACCTAGGCTAGTACGACAAGAAGGAAATACATCCTGGTCGAAGGCATCAAAGGAGCTCCAGGTGGTGCCTCATTAAGCCCCCAAAAGGAAAGCAGGAAGGCTGCTTAGTGGTTCCTTCAGACAGCCTGGGATGTGACACAAGACCTTGGCTTATGGCAGTCAGGAAGCAGTGGATTAGAGAGTCCTTTAAATCACAAAATCTCTCAGCATTATTAGCCCCTAAGTCCTCAGAGAGTCATCTGAGAATTTTTGAACAGCCAGGCAGGAGTCAAGTGGCAATGTCTGTTCATGAAGAATCTCAGCTGCTGTTGTCCACAGCCAAGAATGCTCACCGACATCTCCCTTGGTTACCTTACAGACACCATAGGCAGGCCCGTTTAGTTGTTCCTGTTTGATAGCTATCAGGATGGTTTGTATAGAGACCTCAGACGTGCTTGGGGCTTTGGGTTTTGTATATGGAACAGCTTTAACCACTTCAGTGAGCACAGGTGGGGTTGACAGCGTCCAAGCAGCACAAAAATGAGTATTAACTCTTCCCTCTTCTCAAAAGCTCTTTGATCCCCCCCCCCAGTTGTTTTGTCTACTCTTATTGTGGAATACTATTTTAACTAAGCAAGAACGTGTTCCATGAGCCAGTCGGTGGTGGCACGCGCCTTTAATCCCAGCACTCGGGAGGCAGAGGCAGGTGGATCTCTGTGAGTTCGAGGCCAGGCTGGTCCAACAGCCTCCAAAACAATACAGAGAAACCCTGTCTCGTAAAACAAAACAAAGCAAAAAAAGAACATGTTCCATTCGTTTATTACTTTAACTGTGTGAAAGTCTGTTACATTTGTTTCTGTTTGTTAATGATGTAAAGATGTGTTACATTTGTTTGGGCTGCATTTGTTTAATTATGTAAAGATGTGTTGCATTCATTTCGCCTTGCTTGCCTAAGGAACCTGATTGGTCTAATAAAAAGCTGAATGGCCAATAGCTAGGTAGGAGAGGGATAGGATGGTGGGCAGAAAGAATGAGAGAACAGAGGAAAAGAGAAAAGGGAATAAAGAGAGAGACACACCCTGGGCCAGAAGCCAGGCATCTGTCAGCCAGACTTGGAAACAGCAGGAAAGTAAGATACACAGAAAGTAAGGATGGTTAAAAAAAAAAAAAAAAAGCCCTGCCGGGCGATGGTGGCACACACCTTTAATACCAGCACTCGGGAAGCAGAGGCAGGCGTATCTCTGTGAGTTCGAGGCCAGGCTGGACTCACAACCTCCAAAACAATACAGAGAAACCCTGTCTTGTAAAACAAAAACAACAACAACAACAAAAAAACCAAAAAACAAACAAACAAAAAAGCCCTGAGGCAAAATGTAAATGAAGAGCAACAGGTTAAGTTATAAGAGCTAGCAAGAAACAAACCTAAGCTAAGGTTGAGCATTCATAACTAATAAGAGGTCTCTATGTCATGATTTGGGAGCTAGTTGATGAACCAAAAAGAAAAAGGAAAAGAAAGAGAGAGAGAGAGAGAGAGAGAGAGAGAGAGAGAGAGAGAGAAAGAAAAAAAGAAAGAGAGAAAGCCTGTTATACCCTTTCCCTAAAAGTCTCCCTTCTCAATGGCCCTCACATTGGAAAGCTTGATCTTGGAATTGCTTGAAAGGAACAAAACTGGGGCTTATCACTAAGAGAGTTAAACATAGTCTTATAAAATATGTGTGCAGTCTAAGTGCAGGGGAACCACAGATTTCATGACTACAGAGGGGACCATGCCATTCCTAACTGGCTTTTCTGCCTCTAAGCATGTTAGTTTGCTTAATAGAACAAATAAGCATATTTGTTTTCATGCATTTCCTCACTCTAAGGCAGTTTGTTAAATCTAGTAGGGATATGAAAAACCCAAATCAAGCAACAATAGATTGGATCAGTAATAAGTTTCCTCTAAAAATAAATGATAACAGACAAAACAAGTAGAGATGAGTCTAGGAATGTTGCCTGAGCCCTAATTACAGGACTTCAGGGGCTATACTGGGGGTTTTGGAGATTTTGAGATAGGAAAGGACTCTATGAGCCTCTTCTTTACAGTTTAACCTGGTAGTAAGATTGTGTTGGACTTGTAAGTAAGGTCTGAAGAGTCCCTCTCTATGGCTGTGGGGGAGATAGAGCAACTGTTGGGAGCACTTTGCTTACTGCCCTTGAAGAGAGCCAGAGTTCAGATGCCAACACCCACTTAGGTGGCTCATTATCACCTGCAACTGCAACTCCAGTAGACCCAATGCCTGCTTCTAGCCTCTGAAGGTACCCTCACACATACATGCATGTGCTTACAGAAACACACACACACACACACACACACACACACATTTTAAATTTTTTAAAGTTCCCTTTCAAGCATGGGGGGCAGGGAGGAAGGTGGAAGGGGAGAGGAGGGGAGGAAGGGGAATTGAGAAAAATGTAGAGCTCAATTAATAAGGAATCACAACAAAAAGAAATTCTCAAACAATACAAAAGAAATGTTACCAAATGCTTCACTGAACAACATTCATTCTTATGGCAAAGTCACGCAAAAATCACATTTTTCTAACATCTTAGATTCCAAAATAGAATAAAAGTTAAATTTATACAGAAAATAAAATAAATTTTTAAAAGAGTTCCTTTTCTTTCAATTCTATAAAACAGTTTGAGAAGTATTAGTTCTTCTTAAAGTCTGGTAAAATTCTACAGCACAGCCATCTAGTCCTGCCAAGTTGGTTTCCTTCCAAGAATGCAAGGATGGTTCACCACAGATAAATCAATACAAGTAACACTGGGTCTGGGGAGATGACTCAGCAGTAAAGAGCGTTTACTGCTCTATCAGAGAACCCAGTTCAGAAAATGACGTTTTTCAGCCGAGTGGTGGTGGCACACACCTTTAATCCCAGCACTTGGGAGGCAGAGGCAGGTGGATCTCTGTGAGTTCGAGGCCAGTCTGGTCTACAAAGTGAGTTCCAAGACAGCTGGACCTATTACATAAAAAAAAAAAACCTCTTTAAAAAAAAAAAAAGTGAGGTGGAATCAACCTGTATATCCATCAACAAATGAGGAAAAAATATGTACTTTGCATATAATGTATAGTTATGAATTATACATATATATAATTGTATATAGTGGAGTATTATTAAGCCAAAAATAAAATTCTATCATTTGTAAGAAAATGGATAAAACTGGAGTTCAGTGTGTTAAACAAAATAAGCCAGATGCAGAAAGACAAGTATCACGTGTTTTCTCTCATACGCAGAGACCTGAAACTACAAGAGAGCTTATCGGGGACTAGGAAGGGGGTTGGAGACGGGAGGGGGGGGAAGGATGGGGGAAGGGTAGAAGACTCGATAGGCATAACCAATATGTGCTATATGAATGTTTGGAAAAACCACAGCGAATCCCATTGATTTGGCACAATTAACATATTCAACATTATAACAAAAATGTGACCTTGCAGTACTGAGCAAGATAAATTGGAAAACATAAACACTTGGCATCAGTATATGGATTTATAATGTATACTGCATTTGGGTCATCATCAAATGTGGTTCTTAGACTGTTAAAAAAATCATTCTTTTTAATCTTTGGTTATACTTTCCTGATGGGTGTTAAGATTTATGTAGGTGACCAAAATTAACCCTTTCTTAACTGTCAAGGTCAGCTGAAGGTCTGGTCCTCAAGGACTACATGAGCTTGGAAGGAACCCCAGCTCCTTTAATCTCTCTCTCTCTCTCTCTCTCTCTCTCTCTCTCTCTCTCTCTCTCTCTCTCTCTCTCTCTCTCTCTCTCTCTCCCTCCCTCCCTCCCTCTCCTCCCCCCCTTCCCTAGTTGTACCACCTGTTGGGGAAGAGTCAGGCTCTTGTTGACTGTACTACTTCCTTTGGAAGTATGGAGGGCATTTCCTTCTGTGCTGACTCTCTTCTTGGTAGACTGTACACTGCTTATGTCGGGCCTCTGGCTCTGGCCTCCATCAGACAGGTGACTTGATGCAGATGGCCCATAGTCTCCTAGGACCTAGTTGACCTTGGAAGGCAAAGACCAAAATATTTATCTTTAGTCTCTATAACCAGACTGGTATTGACTTCCAAGCATGGTTATTTAACACCCAGAAAGTCAGTTGTACCAGGCTGCTGCTTTTTACATTTTTTTTCCCATTTGAAAAATACTTCTTTTAAGCCAGATGGTGGTGGCACAACAAGAAAATAAACAAAATCGATTTCATTCAATGTGTGTCAACATTTTGCCTGCATATATGTCACATGCATGGTTGATACCCACAGAGGGATCCCCTGGAACTAGAGTTGTGAGATGCCATATGAATTCTGGAAATCCAACCCGAGTTCTCTGCAAGAACAAAAAGTGTTCTATTCCACTGAGCCATGCACTTTTAACTTGTGTATCATTTAGATAAAGCTTAGGTAAAAACCAAACACTTTACATTGAAAAGTCATTGATTTCGGTGAAGGAATGTAAGTCACTATCTGTTATGTGCAAATGACGTGTGTCTCATAGAAGAAAGAGAGGCAATAGCCGCTATTGGCCTTGAAGTGAGGGATGGCAGAAATGAATGTTATGTGAATTATATTCAAACTCAAAACACAATACTACTAAAAAAAACCTAGAAAAATGTTGGCAAATGATGTATTTATGTTTGACATTTTACTTGTAAAAAAATTGAAATAATACAAGAGAAACAAAGAAAAATAAATCATACCATATAAGGGTAACCACTGTGAATATTTTCCTTTCGGGCACATATAAATGTGTGGTTGAAAAGTTATTTGTGATGTTCAAAGCATCAGTTGACCTGAATTCACATATTTGTAATCATGAAGAAATACAGGACAGAATGCCAAAATAAACTGTTCTTCTTTGCTGGGATCTAAAACATCAAGGTTTGAGAGAAGAGGGAGCACCGGAGAGGAGGAGGGAGGGGGAAGGGGAGAGAGGAGGGAGAGGAGAGGATTGATTGGTCGACTTTCTAAACACCTAGCATATAAATGAATACATACTGTTGAGAGAAGACACTTTGAACCTCCCCCCCCCCCATTTATTCCATACACAGCAAGCATGGGAGCCACCAGGACACGTTCCAGGAGAACTGGCTGGAAGGACCAGAGTGATTCCAGAACTTTTCTTTCA